ATCGCCTACACACGTATGTACGTGTGTACACTGTATAAACGGAATAACGTGTATCGGAGGGAACGTACACGTGCGAGCATGCCACGTGCAAGTATAGAAACAGCCAGCCCACGGGATTTCGGGTCGATAGCCATGACGTCAGTGGATCATACGAGAGCAAGAGAATAAAAAACAGTGAGGAGAACAGAGAGCGAGGAACGCTGATAAAAAGATAAGAGAGCAAGAGAGAGAGAGAGAAGAGAAAAATTTAAAAAATTGTTTATAAAAAACATGCGAGAGTGATAGAGAAGCTTGATATCTGTTGAAGAGAAGAACATATAAGAAGAGAGAGTGAGAGAGAAGAAAGAGGGGAAGAAGGAAGGCGGCAGATGAAGTTCAAGGGTATCCCGCTTGAATGCACATCCCACGCGGAAAATGGGAAAAGAGGGCAAATGGATTTTCCAGCTTTGAAAAAACGTTAACGGAAAGGTTGTACGATCGGAAGGTGGGCGAGCTAAGTAACTTCCACCCAGAAGATCCCTGGACTAAACTTGCCCTTTGAAGAGAACCTTGCAACAAACTTTAGCTACTTTAAAAATGAAAAATTGTCTTTGTAAAGTATCTGGGGAACTTGTTATCGAACCTCTCCTCCGATAATCACTGAAATTAACATAACATTAGAGATTCAATTTTTTCAACCTTGGGAAATACAAAGTTCCTTTTTTCGATTATTAAAACGTACACGTGATTCGTTTATGCAAGCGATTATGTTATAAAATCATGACGCGATATTATTACGTATTCACGTGGATTAGAAAAACGCTCGAAATGCGAAGCGTTTGTTGCAATTACAACGCGTAATCGCTAACAGCCAGAACCACTAATTATTGTTACGTGCCGGTGATGACATCGGTGATAATGCACCTGCCACGCAGAGACCGGTGAAATGTTCAAGGAAGGAAGATAAACAAGAATATTTTCTCGTTTGGTTAGCTTGGTTCCCAGTGTCGCGTGTTAGGTGGGCGTTTCGTAATGAAACGTCCTGGTGACATTATTACGAGGCGATAATCCTCGTGACTAAGCGCGATGACGACGCTGGGAAACTTGCGGCGCACTGGGAATCATCGTTATACAATCTTCGAAAAATTAAGATTAACAATGTCGTTAGGTTAACTATTTTTATTTAAAAGGTGAACTATTTTTAACCCTTGCCATAGAGTAAACCAAATTCATGATTTCCTAAAACTAACGTGTTGCTAAAAATACATGCCTAATATTACTATCAACAGTAACGACGTGTAACAAACTGAAATTCTATCCAACAATACTCGAGGACTCGATGATGTTCAAGGTAATCGACGTAAAACGACTGCTACGTATTATTGTTCTTCCGCGGATATGATGCAATTGTATGAATGCAATTAATCAGGAGACCAAGCTTAAAAGTCTGACTAGAAGTTAAATCAACTGTTTATTCTCGCCGTAAAGATAACTTTAAGTAGGATCCGAGAGCATTGCATCAAATGCGAAAAACAAGATCTCTCGAAGAGCATTATAAAAAGAATATATCTACTATAAATACAGTAGGGTCAAAGTGTACGAATAAATTTCATCGAACCACCCGTTACGAAAACACTCAAGTTTTCCACAAAATTAAACGGTACAGATGATACGGTACTTAAACCTTCTAAGAGGTAAGGAATAAAGGAAGGCGCAGGTTCGCGAAAGATAATCCTTGAAGAGAGGAATTGGTTCAGGTCCTTGTTCCATTGGTCTGGCCAAATGCCGATTGAATTTCGAGTTTGTTGTCTCGACTCTCCACTGTCCTAAAACCGTAATCGTATTTGGGTTAGCATGCCCGGACATGCCCGGATGTGCCCGGATGTGCCCGAACGTGGCTACCTTGAACTTGCCACCCCGGATGCTCGACATCAACTCCCAACCCCCTTTCTATCACGAGAAAAGGATAGATACCGGTAATACGTTCCAGGAAGAGCAGAAAATAACCGGAAATTTAAGAACTCAACGGAGAATTTACTTTTAGACTATCAGGCCTATTCTGACTTATACATTAGGCTAAGGTTGAGCCTTAAACAGCACGATGTTAGATTAATTAAAGAACCACCTACGTAAACGTTTCAGAAGGTTGCAACACATGGTGTAAGAGCGAAAAGTTACGTCAAAATGCTACAATAACAGATTTCATATATGGTCCACTTTAATATCTCTTCAGACATAAATACATTTATCAACGAACCATGCTACTATGTATAGAACTTTGCATCACCGTTATTGAAGATAAACTAGTTTTCTATTAAAGACAATAAGCCAGAGAAAAGCTACCTTGGAACGAGCAATTCTTTAACCTTAAATAACGACCTGACCTCGACTCAATTTCCAACAGGTACAAGTTGTTGGATCTCATTAATAACGTTAAATACTAATCGAGTTGAAACTTGGCGATTGGGGTCAAGAAAGTTTCTTGAACAACTGCAATTCAGTGTAACATTCTTAGCAACTATTTCCAAAATTATTTTTCAACCCCAATCATAAACCAATGTTCACGCAACAAATTGAATAAGTAAAACTCTTGTCTTTTAAATATTTCAGTTTAATGTAACATCATTGAAATACACAACCAATGCTTGTCGCTATAAATATTATATATTTTCTATAAGGCACTAGGTGAATCTGTTTGAAGATCAACCTTTCTTGAGCCTTGGAGAGAATAAGGTAGTTGTGGGCGACCTCGAGCAAGTGTCGGCTCCCGGCAATGTATAACGGGTTGCCCGTGACCGGGGAAGACCTTGGCCATGGATGTACGTCGGGTGTCGTGACGCAGGCGCCGCCTTATGAGTCCATCTTTCTGCAATTTAAAAAAAAAAACACAAACATGCACTATAAAGAAAGTCTGTTCACCTTAAATAATTTAGTACTTAAATACTGTGAAGTTTCAACATTTGGAAATTATCTTTCATTATATTTTACGATAAAAGGCTAGAACAATTTATTTATGATTTATGCACATTTTCCAGACAGGTGATAACACGATGAATACATTAGGAAATACGTTCTATAGTAAGAATACAAGTAGGTTACGTCAGAAACGAGATTGCACTACCTAGTGCAATTAAAAACTTTGTGTAAACACTAATCCTTTCCCTTTAATGATAACATACGATGCAACACGGATCTACGTCTACATTTATTAGCGTTTGCATTCTTATGAAGCATCATTTTTACGTATTACCAATTTTTTATATATTTCCTGTAAACGTTCATTGCATCAAGCTGAATAGTAATTATTCATAAAATTCATACATAATTCATTAACATCTACAACAATCTACTGCGGCGCGGTGTTTATAATATTCTAATGGCATACAAAGTTCATATCGATTGCGGAGTACCGATAAATTGCATCGATTATCGATTGTTTACATAGATTGAAAATCATGTTTCGGCTCGTAGCCATCGCTACTTATAACGGTTTGCCCGTGACCAGCGAAGACCTTGGCAATGACTTGCGCGACATGCTGCGACGTACGACAAGTTGCTTGACAAGGCGCATGTGCCGGCTGCGCACGCATCTCGCTCGATGCATCCGGAGGTCGCATATCCCATGCACATCGACGACAACAACAACCTTGACCTTATACCTCGGCCCGCTGGCCAACGAGGTCCATCCACTCCTGAACGGTTGAAGGTCACTAGTACCGTGGCTAGGAAACCGAGACGAGAAGAGGGAGACGAGCTGATGGTAACGACGGTAGAGAGTAAGAGAGAAGCTAACAAAATCCAGCCGCTCGATCTCCCTCGAGGACACGTTAACGATTCTCAATTACCGCACGTCAGCCCTTGTCTCGCTACATCTACCTCCCACCCTTTTATTCCATTTTCTATATTTCCACCTCGCTCACCCTCTATCTATCTGGTTTATTTCTGTTTGTATGCTCGCGTGGGTTACTTTTACTATCAATCACCGTGTTGTGATTCGTTCGATTTCTGGCTTCTGGTTTTGTGGTTCAAGGCTGCAAGCAAAAATAACAATAAAGGTTGCAACAAGGAGAAGATTTCAACGTGCAACTTTTCACTGGGACAAACGCGTAGGTAGGTATAATTGCTAGAAACTATATTTTATCGGTGAAATGTATGAAAATTTCTATTCCCAGAGCCAAAATGAAATACATATCTGAATACAGAAATAAACAGTAACTGTATTACTCAACTAATTATAGCAATCTATTAACTTACATTTTTGCAACATCGATTTTAGATACTTTTGTCATTTAAATAATTTTTAAATATTACAAAAATTAAATGGTATTTGCCATTGGAACAAAGGTCCATCGAGATTTCCACCCTATCAGGTCATCATGCCACGAATCATCTTATAATATCAACTACCAAAAATTACTATTATTAGTGAAAAGTAGCCTTCAACATAGTTGTAAAAGGATTAAAGCTTACATATACCTAGCATCGTACAATAGAAATGGAATGCTTGTCTCGCGAACGATTCTCGTACAGATTAGAGACGGTGGAAAGTCGAGGTCGCCCTTGACGTAAGCGCCAACCGCGTAAAGATATATGTACCGACACATTGACAACCTTTCATAAAGGATCCTAAGCCAGGAAACTTGACCGAGTAACATGCGTCGAGGGATCCTTAACTATACATCTAAAAGAAAAAGGGTAAAACAAAAGCGATATTATCATTTTTTAAAAGTTAATTCAAATTGTAGTAATTATATAAATAAGAATCAAAGCATAGACGTTTCCTTTTCCGAAGGTTTACTGAGATTGGCGCCAATGCACTATAAGATTTATGTGCATCGTTAAAGCACCTACAAGTGTTTGGCGCCGAATGCAAACTTGGCTCGCGCTAAGTAAATTAGAACAAGTGGATGTTACTATGTCTAAGATCTAGCGGTGTGTCCTTTAAACTTAAACCGATTACATTGTGAAATATGCATTATACACAACTTCGCTTTAACATTGTATATTAATGTTTGTTTCAGATACCTATGCATATTTCTCATTGCTATCCTTCGTTACCAGGGAAACTTAATTTTGTCCTATCATATCTTCGTCCTATCTGTATGCCCTACACGTGTTCTTGACATCGACTGGTTACGTGCGTATAATTACATCATCGTGGAATTTGCTACCAATTAAGAGATGTTTAGGTAACAATGCCTTTTCAAAGGACAACTAAATCGACGATAGAGAAAGGGGTATGGAATACAAAGGAACATTCACCGCAACAATCTCTCTATATGCCTCTAGATATCGCGCCAATGATGAAGCCGGAAGAAGATGATGCGAGTTTTGGCAACGAGCCAAAAAAAAGTTCCGTCGACGCAACTTTCATTGCAACGATGTCGACGTAAAACGATCTTTCTAAATGCCATCGGCCTTGTCCTTGACATCGACCGCAGCGTCCCGACACTACGCAGCCTATGATTGCATCAGAATGTTCGGTGCAAGGAATACACTTGGGAAGTATGCCGCTAACGGTTGAAGCGAAGAAGCGGGGCAAAGAGTGATATAATGTTCAAATCGATCATGGGTAGAAGGTTTCACGTAGCTGGACAGGTAGATGGTATTTATCTATATCGTTTACCCTCACACTACATATATTACTTTATGAATCGTGGTACCGTATTAAACTTCAGCAGAAGTTTCCGTACTTACCTTCATTCTTTCTCCTAGTTACTCCAAAACCATTCTCAATTCAAATCAATGTCGAGGTAACTTCATGTCGATCAGGCTACGTTAAGGGGGTAGACACGGATAATGCAGCGACGTGACATTATCGGCAAAAATGGGCCTAATAAGGGGTTTGGGAAATTACATTTTTCGTCCTTATATGAGAACAGTTGAGGCTGAGTAAACCCCCTGTGGCTCGGGGGGCTTAGAATACGGCCACGGTATCCCCTGCCTGTCGTAAGAGGCGACTAAAAGGGGTCACACAGACACATACACACACGTACACATGCACGCACACGTACACACACATACACACCGATTCGGACAAAAGATGAGCAGACTCTAAAGGTATGGACTGAGTAAGATTTAAAAGTATGGACAAGTATGAGTGACGAAATTTAAAAATGCGCGAGGTTTGGTGTTGGCGGGGCTGCCAGCACATCCCCGAAGGCGCGTGGCCGATAGCGTTCGTTGGGCAATATGGGGACAGATAAGTCCCCAAAAGCGCCGGCCCCTTCAGGGGCGAAATTAATGAAATGAGATGAGGCTGAGTAAGGGCTCATTCGAAAGAGGAAGGTTCAATGCAGCGTTTTTTCAAACACTGGTTTAAACACAGAATCGTTTTTAATAAAATAGGATTATTTATTCTATTATTATAATATAGGAAAATAACTTTAATAATTTAGGTATGTACAAAAAGTTTTATTTCAACTTTTGCGTAATTTATACGCACAATACATTCTTATGTACACATTTATTTTATATTTCACATAAAAAAGAAATTGTTTTTTATTTTTTTGCTTTATGAGCTTTTGCCTTTCCTCGAGGAGGTCTGCCGCCACGATTTTTCTTTCCACGTCCTTTAGTTTTTTCTTTTGCTTTTGCCGCACGTAAGTCCTTTTTCATTCTAGGATCAACCAACTTGTAACGTCCTTTAACTCCAGCCGGTCTAGCTACTTTCTTCTGTGCCATATGCTTCTTCATTACCACGTAAGTAACATCTTTCTTTGGCTCTTTATGGGCTTTCTTATATAATCTGAAAACATATATCAATGAACGGATATAAATATAAATAATGTTAAGCTTATTATCCCTTCATCAAACCACGTTATACGTACGCTTGTATTTGTTTCGCCTTTTCTCTATCGTTCATCTCTGTGTTGTCCATTATCTGTTCCATTTTCTTCTTTGCTTTTTCTAATTTACGCATTGCTCTTCGTTTTTTCCTTGCTTTTACTTCTAATACCTTTTTAATTGGTCTGGCATTCAAATCCTCAACTCGTTTTTTGTATTCATCAACAAGTTCTTTCGGTACCGGTGCTTCTTTCTTCATGTGTTTCTCTTCATCTTGTACAAACCAATCTGGCAGTTTCTCATCGTTAAATACATATCTGTTCCATGCTGAATCTATTAAATCCCTTCGAGTTTTTTTACTTTGAATTAATAACGAGCCTAATGCTAAGTCGTTCTCAGATAAACGTTTCCTCTTTACCGATTTCACAGCTGAGAATAAAGATAGATAGTTTAATTACTTTAATATATATTCATGATTTATTATGCAATTGTGTACTCACTTGTTGCAGAACTATTTTTACTATTAATTCCATTTTGCATATTGTTTTTATCTTTAGCCATCATCTCTTCCACATCATAATCGGAATCTGAGTCCCCTTGATCATCATCGTTGTCATGACTGTTTTCCAATGTTTTATTATCTCTATTATTCTCTGCAGGATTATCTCCTATTATACGACCACCTTTCTTTTTGTAGTCTTCAACCATTTTATCCAATTCTAAATCCTCATCCTTTTCATCTTCTAAATTCTTAAATATGTCCTTTTCAAACCATAATTCTGCTTTATGGATTCTTTTAGTCTTTTTATCTCTGTGATCTAAATCAGTTATTAAAGGATTTTCTGGATCGTCGTCAAATCTTACTTTCTTTTTTCGAACTCTACTCGCATCTTCATCTTCGGATTCGTCCAAACCTAAAAACAGATAATATAACGATACTGAATTTTGTTATTTAAACAAAAAATTATATATATGTATAGTAAATACCTAAGCTTGATTTATCAGCATCTGATTCATTATCTGATTCATCATTTGAACTTTCTGGTTCACTATCTTCTGTCTTATAATATAGTCCTGAACTGTCTAACTGTCCTTCATCTTTCTTATATTTGATTTTTTTGGGTTTGTTTCGACCTTCATCTGACTCTGCATCACTTTCCGCTACAACATCAGGATGCTGATCTAGTACATTTTCTAAGTGTTGCTTTGTCTTAATTTCTTTCAAAGTGAACATATCATCTCCTTCTAATATAGGACCTTCATTTCCTTTATGAACCATTTTTAAATTGAGTCGTACATTTAGTTTCTGTCTCTCTTTATTCACTTTCTTCTTTTTTCGTTTCAACTCTCTATCTGTTTCTGCTCTAAGTTCTTCGATCTGTTTCGTAATTTCTTCATCTTCTAAATCTTCCAATTCTTCTTGAGTCTTAGGTGGCGCTTCTGTTGTTTCAGTCGCATCTTTTTCCTTATCTCCTGGTTCTAATTCTTCTTTTAAAGATTCTTTCATTGCTTTCCACCATTTCAGCAAACGTCTTAAATCTTTTTTATTTAATACCTTAATATCTTTACAACACTCCTTAATTTCATTAGTTGTTAACGCATGATTTCCGATTTTTTCATCATCAAAAATAATTGCAGAAATTGTTTGCAATGCTTCTATAGCATTTTCATGAGCTATAAAATCTTTAACAGATAATGTATGATACAAGGTGTAATCATTTTCTTGATAACCCTCTGCTGCATGCTTTGTTTTAACTGGATTATATACATTTAGTTTATTTGTAGGTTCTATGTCTAATTCAGAGAATACATATTTTGGATCTAAAAATTTAGGATCTAGTTTATCTGGAGCAATATAATATTGACAAACAACAAAAATTTCAGCAGATTCTAAACGTGATGCTTGAGGTTTGGTTGCATTTACCTATTAAAAAATGTACATTTAATCTACTAATATAGTATAGATAATGTTGTAGTATTGAATAATTTAAATACCTTTCTAAACAACTGTTTTAGCACCCAAAGTAATGGTTGATAATCTCTTGATCGAAAAAGTTTTGTAACAAACCACCCACCAGGTCTTAAAAAGTATGTTGCCATTTTTAAGGCAGCTAAAGTTAAAGTAACTTGTTGATACGCATCATGGAGCCAATTTTTACCAATGTTTGGAGCTCCATCATGCAATACAACATCAGCTTTCCATGTTTTTAATTCACGAGATATCGCTACACGGCATTTATCTGTAGTAATATCTTCTACTAAACTGATGCATCCTGGAATGGGCTTTATGGGAAATAAATCTACACCAACTACTATAGAAGATACGGGCATATTTTGACGGGCGACCTGCATCCACCCGCCAGGAGCAGCACATAGATCTATGCATACTCGAGATTTTTGTAAAAATTCAAATTTTCGATTCAATTGAATTAACTTGAAAGCAGCACGCGATCTATAACCTGTAAAACATAACCTATTAAATATTTTATTTACATATAACAAGTAACAAAATCAGACTTGAAGTAATATTTACCAGTTTCCTTTGCTAACTGATAATATTTATCTTTTCTCTGTTTTCCAATTTTTCCTTTTTTCCCCATGTTAAATTATTCATTCATACAATTATACCTTTTACCAGAAAGTTATGTAGTTTAATTAAATACAACAGACAAACACCAGGCGTCGTTGGCGCTACAGGCGGACATTGTAAAAGTGAGGGGAAAAAGATGTATTTATATGAAGAACAGTTTTTCATTGTAATTATATTTTTTATTTTGTGTACATTTCAATTAAGATTATATATTATTCACAAACGGTTTTACAAAAGATGCAAAACAGTATGGAAACAGTGACCAATTACTTCCACAATTTCTTGATTGACATATTTTTTTCTGAATCTTTTTGCATCACCTTGGCTACAGCCATTTCAAAATCTTCCTGAGTAACGTGAACACGACGTTCTCTGAGAGCATACATACCAGCTTCTGTACATACACCCTAAAAAGGAAGAAAACAATTAAATAACTATAATTTTCCGAAAATATTACTATGTTTATAAAAATTACATTAAATACCTTGACTTCTGCTCCTGATGCACCAGGCATAAGTTCGGCAATTTTTCTTAAGTTTATACCTCGGGTTAGATTCATTTTTCTCGAGTGAATTTTCAAAATGTCAAGACGTGCTGCTTCATTTGGAGGTGGAAATTCAATTTTACGATCTATACGTCCAGGTCTCAATAAAGCAGGATCTAATATATCAATTCTGTTGGTTGCCATAATGACTTTTATATTCTTTGTGGCTTCAAAACCATCCAACTGGTTGAGCAATTCGAGCATAGTTCGTTGAACCTGGTAACAATTATGTTACAGTACGATATTATAAAACATTCCCATTTTAAAATACATACTTCACTATCGCCTCCAGATCCGGATTCAATACGAGAACTTCCAATTGAATCTATTTCATCCATAAATATTATAGAGGGAGCATGTTCTCTTGCCATTACAAAAAGTTCACGAACCATACGCGAACCTTCACCAATGAACTTCTGTACCAATTCAGAACCAGATACCCGAATAAAAGTACATTCTGTATGATGAGCTACTGCTCTTGCTAGTAAAGTTTTCCCAGTACCTAATCATAAATTTTAAATTAAACACTATTGTAGTAGTATTCCCTGATCCGAAAAATAAATATATCCTCATTTATTTACCTGGTGGCCCATATAAGAGTACTCCTTTGGGTTGAGCAATTCCAAGAGCATCAAATAATTCAGGATGTTTAACAGGTAATTCTATAACTTCCTTGATTTCCTTAATTTGTTTATCTAATCCACCAACCATTTCATATGTAGAATCTGGAACTTTCTCTACCATCATGAGTGAAACAAGTGGATCAACTTTATTTGGCAAAATTTTGTGCAAAGTATAACTTTCATTGCGTAATGCCACTCTTGAATTTGGTGTTACATCATTAATATCAATGTTTTTATCTATATCCACTACAAATTTTCCTTCAGGATGTACTTTCACTAGAACTTTCTTTTTATCCATTGGTTTAACAACTTCTCCAACATATGAACCTTGTTCTTGGAGAAGTTGTAATTCTTCACGCAACATACGTACTGAAAAGACACAAAATTAATACTACAAAATATATAAAATGTGAAAAAATAATTTAAAAATATAACTAGAGAATAACATACCTTTTGCATTAAGCTCATTACGCTGTGCTTGTAATCTCCTCAAATTTTGACTTTTCTCAGCCACAATTAACTGCAGCTCTTCGATTTTAGTAATGTAATATGGTTTAAAACCTTCTCCCTTCGAAATTTTTTCATCTATTTCCATCTATAATATGAAAAAGAATAAGAACCAATACTGCATAGGTTATATCCTTACTTACCTTATTTGTGAGCGTCATTGTTGCACTCACTATTTATGACGACTTATAAACAGTAATTTCTAGAATATTATACTGCCATTTACTTACAAGATGAAGTGAAAAGCTTAAAATTTAAATCATAACAGTTATACACTCTATAGCCGTAGGAATTCCTTGTCATTAATATCTATACTTCAGCGCCAATGTAGTTCCAGAAACCATGATTCTAAATCGTAGAGTGCGCCACAAAATGACTGGCAAAATTGTTGTAAGTAGGGAAGTATACAAGGTGTTCGACAACAGGTGGATAAAATTTTAAGGGGTGATTCTAGATATCAAAATAAGACGAAAATCAAGAATAACGAAATAGCGTTTGTGGCTTTGTTTTTCAGTAATTAACGTTTAAAAATTCGAGTAAAAAGCGCCTGAAACCTGCAATCCGTCCAGCACCGACGACTGAACGTCAGGTCAGCAGGGGTCGGTACAGTCATAACCAAGAATCAAAGCCGAATGCTGCAGTACCGAGAAACAGAATAGCACGAGGTAAGCTTCTACTATTCTTGGTTATGATTGTAGTGACCTCTGCTGACCTGACGAACTACATGAAGCTAGCCGGAAGGAATAATAAACTATGATTATTTTTAATTTGTCTTACTAAGATCATATTTTATTATTCCTTCCGGCTAGCTTCATGTAGGTAGCTAAAGGCATACATATACCCTTATTTTATTTTCTGCGTTCAATTAATTTGCTGTAATTATCTTCTTAGCTTATTGTTAATTTTATTACTTCTGTCTGCACCCTTTATATCTCTGATTCCACTATATCTTTGCACCCTTATATCACTGCAAACATCTCAGCAACCCTTACATCACAGTATTCCTAACATCTCTCCATCCCTTACATCTCTGCATTCTTTTCATCCCTACATTCTTTGCATCCCTACATTCTTCGTATCCCTACATTCCTTACATCTCTTCATCCCTTACATCTCGGCATCCCTTGCATCTCTGCTTCCCTTACATCCCTGCATTCCTGACATCTCTACATCCCTTACATCTCGGCATCCCTTGCATCTCTGCTTCCCTTACATCCCTGCATTCCTCACATCTCTACATCCCTTACATCTCGGTATCCCTTGCATCTCTGCTTCCCTTACATCCCTGCATTCCTCACATCTCTACATCCCTTACATCTCTTCGTCCCTTACATCTCGGCATCCCTTGCATCTCTGCTTCCCTTACATCCCTGCATTCCTTACATGCCTGTATCCTTTACATCCTTGTATCACTTATATTCCTGCATTCCATACATCCCAGTACATGCCTGAAATTGAGTTGAAATTTTTGCGGCTATAAGGCCTGCGATTTTATACAAATTTAATTCCTTTTTTGCCACCAGAGGGCGCTGACTCGACATCGAAATTTTAGTTCACATTTTTCCCGCCAGAGGGCCAGAAATGCAGCAAGCTTTAGTTCCTTTTTCCGAAACCAGATGGCGCTGATTCGGCGTCGAAATTTTAGTTCACATTTTTCCCGCCAGAGGGCCAGAAATGGAGCAAGCTTTAGTTCCTTTTTCCGAAACCAGATGGCGCTGATTCGACGTCGCAATTTTAGTTCACATTTTTCCCGCCAGAGGGCCAGAAATGGAGCAAGCTTTAGTTCCTTTTTCCGAAACCAGAGGGCGCTGATTCGACAACGAAATTTTAGTTCACATTTTTGCCGCTAGGGAGCGCTGTTTTTCGAAATTTTTGCGAAATTCTGTGAAAAAAGGTTCTAACTTACCTTTACTTACCTTTACTCGAAGCAGCGTTTATAATATATTTATTATAAGGGATGCAGAGATGTAAGGAATGTAGGGATGTAAGGGATGAAGCGATGTAAGGAATGTAGGGATGAAAAGAGTGTATGGATGTAAGGGATGAAGTGATGAAAAGAGTGTAGGGATGAAAAGAGTGTAGGGATGAAAGGAATGTAGGGATGAAAAGAATGTAGGGATGCAAGGGATGAAGCGATGAAAAGAGTGTAGGTATGAAAAGAGTGTAGGGGTGAAAAGAATGTAGGGATGGAAAAAATGTAGGGATGATAAGAATGTAGGGATGACAAGAGTGTAGGGATGAAAAGAGTGTAGGGATGAAAGGAATGTAGGGATGAAAAGAATGTATGGATGTAAGGGATGAAGTGATGAAAAGAGTGTAGGGATGAAAAGAATGTAGGGATGTAAGGGATGAAACGATGAAAAGAGTGTAGGGATGAAAAGAGTGTAGGGGTGAAAAGAATGTAGGGATGATAAGAATGTAGGGATTTAAGGGATGAAGAGATGTAAAGGAACGAGGGATGTAAAGGAAACCCGTAGGGGTCCGGGGCTGGGGCCCCGGTCTTCGCTGCACGCGGCCCGAGAAGTGCCGGCATCGGGTGTGGCCCCCGATATCGGCGGAGTTTGGCACATGGCGGAGGGTCAAAGGACCCTCCCTGCCGCCGTAGCACAGGCCACCGTGGTGGTTTTAGTGGGTAAAAATCCCACACTACCTCCGGCCCTTCCCCAGGAGGGCTGAAGGTGTCTTTCTGAAGATTTCCACCACGTTAAAAAGAAAAAAAAAAAAAAATGGATATTTAAGGGTTGCAGGAATGTAAGGAATGCAGGCATGTAAGGAGTGCTGTGATGGAAGGAATGCAGGGATGTAAGGGCTACTGAGATGGCCTTGGCCTATAATGAGGGATAAAATGATATAAATAACTGGAAAAAGTAAAATAAATGGGGTCCTCGGCTGGGACCGAGAAGAGGGATATAATCATAAATGTTTTCCGCTTTGTTGAACTTATTTAATAAGCAAAAAAAAATAAATGAAGTAAATTAAATTAACTCTACAAAAAACTTATACTGGTTGTGCCCTCTTCATACGGTCCTGACATTATCCGGGGTTTCGTGGACCCCAAAACAACGATAACTCTCTTTGCATACTGACATTATGGTATCTGGGGTTTCGGAAACCCCAGAGCACCAATGACTCTCTTTACATACCGACAATATGGTATCTGGGGTTTCGGAGACCCCAAAGCACCAATGACTCTCTTTACATACCGACAATATGGTATCTGGGGTTTCAGAGACCCCGAGTATCCGCTTGGGGTGCCAAGGACCCCGGTTACCATCCCGGGGTTCTCAGGACCCCGGAATACAATTCTGGGGTTCTCAGGAACCCAGGATACAATTCTGGGGTTCTCAGGATCCCAGGTGCAGTCTTGGGGTTCTCAGGAACCCCAAATGTAATCTTGGGGTTCTCGGGGACCCCAAGGCAAATAGCGAAATATAAGAACGAAAAGCGAACAAATCGTGAAACTCACTTGTTCGGACTAGTGATGGGTTTGACCGAATCTAGCGAAATATAAGACCTAAAAACGAACAAATCGTGAAACTCACTTGTTCGGGGTAGTGATGGGTACGATCGGATCTAGCGAAATATAAAATCTAAAAACCAAACTAATCACGAAATAGTAATTGCAAGATAGTGGTGGATATGACCTATAAAAGTGGAAGACTAGACCTAGAAAGAGTGTAAAACATTGCACGAAGGAAATATAAGAATATACCTAAACTCTTTTCTACTTACCTGAGTTTGAATACCGACATTACCGCTTCAGGGGTGTCAGGGACCCCGGTGTATCGGTGGCGCTCTCTGTATACCGACCTGATATCATCTAGGGGTGTGAGGGACCCCACTGACTACCTCTGAGCGCAGACTTAATATCATCGTGGGGTGTTAGGGACCCCGGTGACTCTTTGTACCGACCTAATATCATATTGGGGTGTCAGGGACCCCGGTGACTCTCTCCGTTTAACGACAAAATCTCATCTGGGGGTGTCTGAAACCCTTTAAATTATGATCCCTCGTAAACAAAATCATGTCCAGTCTTCTACATCTGTAGTCACTGCTGTGTTACAGTTCACATAATTTCTAACCTAATAACAAATGTCATGTGTGTTACTTGACGTTAATACAGTACACTATCTAATGTATATTCCATATTTTCTTACATTAGAATTATGTAAGAAAATAGTTATGTGGTTCCATGTACGTTAAATGATGGCGTACGGGTAATAAAATCCCTTATAATGATATAACATGAAATTTAAGAATCTCAATGCAGTAATAGGAAGTTCTATGAACATCTGCAATAGCATAAGTTAACGTTGTATAATAGAAAATGTTCGGCAGATTGTTAATTTCTCTCCAGAATTATTTTACTACGTAACGATAAGTGATTTGTTAATTGAAGTAGAAAAGTAATATCCGATTGTCGGTATGTCCGACGACGCCCATATTAAAGAGCAATGGCAACTTCTACAAAGCCTTCGAACTACTGTAGAAGGTTTGTTAGTTGATGGTGTTTTAAATGTATGGAATGTTTATGGTGGCCTAAATCGTCTTCACAATGTAATGGAGCGGATATTCAAACATGGCTGTCGAATATTTAATCAAAATGTAAGCTAGCGTTCGTCTCCTTATTTTTCTTTGTTCGTTTATAATTTATTTCATATTATAATGTCAATTTTATAATTGTATATAATAAGTATCTTTCTTTTTATCTATGTGTAACATTGTCATTGCTTTGAAATAAAATAAAATTAGTATTTTTATTTACATAACATATTATGGAATAATATTATTTTGATAATGTTGGAAGTAAGAAAAAGTGGAAAATAATAAAATTTATTATAAGGGAGAACCAGATTGTTGGATTTTTATACAAGGATTAAATTGGCTACAACCTTCTCTAGCAATATCACCTGTTCCCACAGAATCTCAAGATTACTTTTCAAATTTGCCAACTCGGATAATATCACAGAAAGATATGTTATGGTTGTATAAAAGGTAATTATAAAAGTAAATCATATAATTTATAAATTTATATAATATAATTTAATGGATCTTATCTTATCTTATAGCTTAGAAAGCCATTCTTTGTCACATAAGCTTTCTTGGCTTTTATCTGACAAGGAACATTTACTTTCCTGTTTTGAACCATGGGCATTTCTATGTCAAGAAAATTTATCTGAGGCCACACTTTTGTGTTTAAGAGCAGTTGAAAGAAATCAGCTTACATTGCTCACAGAAATTGATCCATCTTTAGTAAGTAATATATTTTAAATTACATTTTCATCTGTTTATATTTTATATATTGATCATCTGAACATTACACTTTTAGTTTTTACCATCTTGGATTTCTCCAAAAGCAAGTCCAAATAGACACCGTAGATCTTCATCATATCCAATAAATTTTCCAATCACAAATTTTAGTGTGGCAAGAGACAAGGCTATACATATTGAAAAATGTCAATTAGAATCATTGAAACTAGTATCAGATAACAAAGCTAACCAGCAAAATGAAGTTAAATTTGAAAAAAATGAAACTGCAATATTAGATACCAAAGAAATAAATGATATACCTTTAAAAACATGGAATAGTCTTTCAGAACTGACAAAAAATTCTAAAACTCCACAAACAAGTTTTCCTACATCTTCATCAGTTACTGCAAATACAAGCTCATATAGAAATAATGATTCACAGACTGCAACTGTTGAATTATCAAAAATAATTGATGTAAACTATGCTGAATTAAAACAGTCTACACCCATGGTTATGGATAATAAATTACTTGTAAAGCCAAGAACTCCAATAAGAAAAATAAAAAATAAAGTTAAGCCAAAAGAAAGTTATGCTACTAAAAAATCTAGTGAAGAGTCTGATGCATTAAATAGTGAAGACAAATCGGTAAACACGGTAAAAGAATATTGTATTCCATTTACTAAATCAAATAAAATTGACGCAAACAAAGATAATACAGATTCCGCAGAAATAAATATATCTGAAAAGCCAAGAAGAAGAGCTTCATTTTTACCTGGATCAGCGCCTGAATTTACTGGTCCATGGAATTTAGAAATCGAGGGTCAAAAAGACATAAGAACACCAAAGAAAAGTTTCATGGAAGATGGAGGGAGTAGTGTACAACCTATGGCAATAGGATATTTTCCACGACCAGCGGAGGGTCAAAGTTTAACAAGCTTTTTAGCATCTGCACAATTTTCCCGAACTAATGCCGAATTAGACAGAGAGAATGCACATTTTAGTGTTTCTGAGGCTATGATAGCCGCCATTGAACAAGTAAAATGCAACAAACAGTGGAGTCTTATGGAAGAAGCAGCCGAGGAAAGTGATGAAGAGATAAATAGCTTAAAACAAAGAATACGATTGAGACGCCGTCAACGGCAAGAAGAACGGTGTAAAGGAAGAACATGGAATCGTGATTTGCTTAGTGATGGAAAAACTGATACAACAACCACTGATCAAAGTATTAGTCCGTTGTCAACTTCATCTGATACTCCATCCGAGAATATTTCTACCGATGATATAGAAGATCTAGAAGTAGATGATGAAAGAAATGCAGTAAAGCTTAAAAATGCTGGGATTTCAATATCTATGGCATCATTATATTCGGATGCAGATTTGTATCAAACATCTCCTCTACATGGAACAGAGTCAACATTAACTGACAGCAGCATGTCTGCGGAAGGTGTAGCTCTATCGCTTCTCAGTAGGTTTAGTGAGAAACAATTACCAAGAGCGAGCGAATTACAGTGGCTTGTCTCAGAGAAAGATGCACCGCAAAGACTGTTACCACTACCCAAAAGTTGGCCAATTAGTCCAGACGAAGCAGAAAATTCCCAATCAATTCCACTGCGCGGAACTACAGAATGGGCTCCACCGAGACCTCAAATTATTTTCACACCACATCCTCCTCCAGTGTAAGTTTACAATTTTAGTAAGCATCACCAATAATTCCATAATTTAATTTCATGTTTGTATCTTTAGGCGGCGAACTCTTATAGCTAAACAGAATTACAGGTGTGCAGGATGTGGAATGAAAGTTGCAGTAAAATATGCAAACAAATTTCGTTATTGCGAATATTTAGGTAGATATTTCTGTACCGGATGCCATACTAATCAAGTGGCACTAATACCAGGAAAGATTTTATCTAAATGGGATTTCAATAGGTATACAAATTTAATAAAGACATACATAATTTATGAATTTTCATAAATTATCATACTTATTTAATGTTTTTTTCATGCAGATATTCTGTATCGAACTTTTCATACAGACTATTGGATCAAATGACATTAGATCCATTATTTCAAATAAACGATTTAAATTCGTCATTATACAGGCGCATCAAACAATTAGATAGAACGAGATTATTGCGTACACAATTATATTTCTTTAAAGACTTCTTACTTACGTGTAGATTTGCAACAAGGTATACTGTTTAATCATTATTTCCAATTTTTGAACTGTAATATATTAAAATATATTTTTATTTCTAATAGTGTTCAAGAAATATTGAAAAAGGAACCAAGTTACATATTAAACGAACCTCATGTGTATTCCATTCAGGATCTGATGCATATTAAATATGGTATTCTGCCAATTAGATTACAAGAATTAGTTCAAGTTTGCAATATGCACATTGTAGGTTGTGAGGTAATGTTCTAAAGTTATGTTGTACATTTGTTTCCTCTAATAAAAGTGGATTTTTATTCGTTTCAGTTATGCCAAGCTAGAGGATTTGTATGTGAACTATGTTGCTCTAAAGACATTATATTTCCATGGGAATTGTTAAAAGTTAGTAGGTGTGAATTGTGTGGTGCATGTTTTCATAACGAATGTAAGCAAAGCTTTAATAAAACTGATTGTCCGCGTTGCATTCGTTTACAAGCTAGACGAATATCCAGAGAAGAACAATTTTGACACACGGTAAAAATATTCTATGTTATATATTTGTATATGAAAATTAAGTTAACGATTTGAGTGAAATGTGAGTCATTAATTCTAAAGAATCGGATTTTCCAATATCGTATTTCAAATTCTATCTTATTTAATATAAAATTGATAGTAATTTAAGCATTGATCACAGATCTATATATTATATTTATGTGCTACTATGCCGCAATATTTTCAATTACTTGAAATTTTTAAGTATAGCATTTTATAAAAATGAAAATTTATTTAATGTAATTATGTACGAATGAGACGTAGTAAAGACTGAAAAATGTGATATTTAAAATAATTATAATTTTATTTTTAAAGTATTTCTTATGTATTTATTTCTCTCTATTACGTAACTATTTAATATTACGTACACTCCTACCAACGAATATAGATATAATCTATTATAATTTATTTGCAAATAATTAAAAGTTATTTTTGTATTAAAAACCATGTAAATGATATTATACTATATAAAGAAACTGAAATATTATTTTTACTTTTCTAATATTTAGTGAATCTTAATTTAATAGACTTTAATGTAAATAATGTAAGAAAATTAATATATAAGTTATTGCACGTTTTAAGGATAGAATGTAAAGTGGCAATAACATTTTGAGTAAACTGGTTTATATAAATACTATCGTTATATTAAAAGAAATAGTCATAAATGCTGTACCTGGTTATTATCATAATTGAAAATATGCATTATGTATAAAAGTTGTTAACTTGATCGAAGTTTATAATAAAATGTTTCAAAAGCTTTAGTGTTCTTTTATTTTCCTATAAAAAAATGCACGTAAAAATTGTATCTATAAAAAATTAAAAATCATTATTTGATTTTATTAAATTACACTTTGTTTACAATAGTTCACATACACACATCTTACAAAATAATAAGTGATAGTACATTCACTGTCAGTAAAAAAATATATTATAATGATATTATATACACCACCTAATTTCAATAATTCTTAAAATTCTATGGTATCCTTATTCATATGGTAAACTATTAATATAAAGAAATCGTTCTAAGTTTGCCCTAGTAATCTTTAGAAATATGTACACATTGATGATTGTGGTCAGTATGTACAACTACTTTCTCAATCTGACATATACCTTTTGAAGAAGTAGCCTAAATATTTTCTAGTATACAAATTGCATAAAGATTGTGTACGTGAGAAAATTTTGATGCATTTCATTATACCAAAGTTTTAAATACATTTATATCACAGGTGGTATTTTGTAGAAAAAGATGTCATATTTATTAATAAAAATAACTAATAACTATGACAATATAAAGTTACAAAAAACAATAGATCTGTTTTCTAGACTCACATTATGTATGTAATTAATACTATGTAATTTCATTTAGAATGGCAACTAACGAGAAATTACTTTCTCTATAAATTATGTATATACTTAAATTATCATTTTTCATGCAATTTGTCGACATATAAATTAATTTTTCAATTTTTTCGCTTGCAAACGAAGAAAATTTTATTCTTAATTTTATGCTGAGCAATGATTAAAGAGATTTACTATAAGTTCGGTAATTATTATGTAACTACCTTAGAAGCATACAATTTGTTATCAGTCTATAAAGTGTAACAACAATGCATAACAATACGCCACACTTCCTATACGGCTTGTTAAAACACAAATGCCGCATAATTTCCCGTCTAATCATACATGTATATACGTACCAATCCAATCTACGATAAGGTATTGTATAATAATATTACATATATAAAATGAAAAAAACAAAATAAAAGATTTACTTCAACCTTCCATGCATTAAAATGATTTTGGAAATATTAATTTCTTTTATCTGAATTTTTATGGTGTATAAAAGCGTGGCGCTAAAATAAATTTCTCAACAAAAATTAAAATAACTTACAAATACTGAGATTGTAGAATAATATAGAGATACTAATAGTGTATAAATACAAAAAAAAAAAAAAAAAACCAAAATGAGAAATTATAGCATGTGCCAGTCATATTGGATAAGTATAAAAATTAAATTAAATTTCACAGTCGTTTAAATTTTTAAAGTTTCTGATTAATTAATAATTTGAATTCCATTTTGCTTTAATTTTATTATTACGCAAATTAAATAAGGTCATTTTGATTAGCATGTCATTGCTCAGTGATCATCTTAATTTTTTATGAATTTCATTACAGGCTATCTAACAATAATGAGGCAATCCTGCATATTATTGTCACCCTCAGCTTTTATTACCTACAGTTTTTTTAAAGCTATTTATATATCTAAAGTATCTTTTAATGGCAGCTTCGCTACTTCAAAGAATATCCTAAAATATAGAAAAAAAAAATATTAAAAAAATGTTGTGGTTATTTCAAATACTCTTTTATGTATTTAAAAACATATGAAATAATATATGAAATTTAAAAACATATTTAGAAACTTACTTGTGACTGTATTTGTTGCGGACCGTGGTTAAGGCTTCCTTATGTTTTCGATGTAATCCTTGGTTTAAGAGATTAGCAATGTCTTTTATGTCTTCAACTTTATAACTACTATAATATTCTAGAGTCGGAGTCCATCCTCCTAGATCTTTCATCTGTAATGCAACTAGAAGTGCAGCTGCAGCCGTTTTACTATCACTGAACATTATTGTTGAATAGTCCATCAGCGAGTATTCCAAAATATATCTAGCTAGGGTCAAAGTTGGCATCGACACTTTTGCACACTGTTCACAAGCAATATAATTATTACAAACATAGACTTCGAAATAATTAAACGAAATTCGGTTATTAAAGAAACTTACCCTAGCGTATCGTCTTAGAAACCTATAGGAAAGAGGTATACCAAGATCAAAATCAATTACTTTTAAAACACTCATTTCCATTCTAATTAATTCTCTTTGCGTGTAAGCACCGTCACATATATACAAAAAATCTTCAACCATTGGAGGTATTCTTTCCTATAACATTTATAATAAAATTCAGTAAAAAATATATTTTTATTCATTAATATAATTATATACGAATAATTAATACTTACGTCGTATTTACTCGCTATGAAAAGACTTGCAGCACCTAACAATTGCAATGTTTCTTTTCCAACTGTTACTTTTGTAAGGTACAAATCAACTAATTTCACAGCCAAGTACAAAGTTTCATGATTCAGTTCAAAGGACTCTTGAACCTCTACCATCCAATCAACTAATAATGCTCTCATCCACCGGGATAGGCACACTTGTTTATCCATATAATCTCCAATGGGAAATAAGCGTTCTCTATCTTTCAAATAATTAAAGATATCCATGGCATAGTGTGAAACCTGAAATGGATCTAACCAATTCTCTGCATCAAAATCCCATTGAACTCCTTCAGGTAAGTTTCTCTCAGGAACAGCATCTAAACATGCTGCTATTGATTTTTCTTCAGTTTGTGCAGGTACTTGAGGTTCAGTTGTTTCACTTTCTTTTTTAGACTTTTCAGAATTTTCACTATTTTCAGGCTGTAGACAAAATATTAAAAAATTTGATGTAAATGTATTGACATAATAAACCATGCTGCAAAGATCATTTACCTGAATATTGCTTCTTCTAGATTTCTTTGAAGTGTCATCACCCACATCTTCTAATGCACTTACATACAAAGAACTGTCCTCTGATTTTTCTAAGTCTAAACTATGTCTAACATTTATAATTGTACTAGCTACTTCAGTTTTCTTGTCATCTTTTTTCACTGATTTTACACGGGGTGGCACTGGCTTTGGTTTTGGAGGTATTATTTCAGGTTTAGTCACAACTTTTTCAAGCGTTCTAACAGAACTTGTCTGAGTGAAAGATTTTACTTGAGTACTGGTAGCTTTCTTAACAGTTTTCTTTGGTTCTTGTTGATGTGTTCCCAATGTCTTTCCAATAGCCTATTATTTTACATTGTATTAGAATCCTAATAAAAAGAGCTCAAACAAGAAATAAGAGTACTTGAAAGACATACATTAGTGATGTTTCCTAGTGCAGATCTTTTTGTAGTTTTTTCGTTTGGTGGGGATGCCTCTGCTTTTCTTTTGATACATGGATCTTTTCCAAGAACAGGTGGTTTAAGTAGAACATTATGTAGCACAGCATTCTGACTTCTTGTTACTCTTTTTCTTGCATTTGTTATGTTAGTACTACGTTGTTTATTTTGTGCATTTAAAATTTTAGATGGTGCCATTCTCATAAACAAATTAAAAGATCTGCCCTATCCCTGTATAAGCGAGAATATTTATTAGATTTAAATTGTTAGTTTTGAGTACTGTTATTAATGTTACATGATAATTTTATTCTACTCTATACACATATGCATATTACTAATTACAATTATAGAGGAACAAAAATGATTAATTATATATAAAAGCATGTATCACTTTTAAAAATTAATTTCACAATAAAAGCTACGAAAATTTTCGTATACGATGAAATGGATATTTTATAAGAACATATACAATTTTAGGAACAGTATGTTCCGTATACGTGGATGAGCAACACGATATTTTAGAATTAACATTTAAGGAAACTTTTTTGATTTTTCTGATATTTAATGTAATTTTGTAATAATTTATTTAATTTTGTATTAATTAGTTGTAAAATTGAAGTCACTTTCTGTTAGAAATCGAGAAATTCACCCACGTTTTTCCTACACGAATTCTGGTTATTGACTTGATTCTTGGAACATTGCATTCACAGGGATAAAAACGCGGGAACGTAACATAGGAACATATTAGACGAAATGTGGGGGCATGCATTTTTCTAATTTGGAAGTTTTGATCTAACCTTTAGGTATAAGACTGCAAGAGGAAAAAGCAATAAAATAAGTAGCAAACATAAATTTTCGTAACTATTGCAAAGACAAGCGATCGCGAAAGCAAGTCAAAACATTAACTGATACATATGGTAGGGTGACTGAATATTTATATAAAATGTTGCTTTTCAGTACCAAATGAGTTATTACGATTTACCTGACGGTATGAATTATTATCTGATATGCTCCGGTGCGATGGTATCTCTCATTTATGAAATTCTTAAGCCCCTAGTACGTCGCCGTAGCATCCATTCGTTTCACCAGAGCAACTGAAGTTGACGTTGTTCAAAATATCACAGTTACTGTTGGTGCTTCCTGTGATTGGTTCACTTCAATATAGGACAACCAATCGGAAGCATGGAAACACCCGTGACCGCCACCTATCGATAAAATATACAATCGACTGAGTGTTTCATTTATTCAAAACGTATCAGCTTTTTTATATTTCATGCAATTAATGGTTTATCATTTCTCTGCATCTTAAAACCATTATTTCATGTATGTAAATGTTCAATACTCAACATGTGTGATTTACAGGACTAATCTTACTCACTTATGAGCTAGTAACAGAATCAATGTTAATAAATCTAACGTATTTAACTCGTAGGTAGATAAAGTACTTATTCTGTAATTGTACAAATACTTGTATATTTGTTCAAACAATTACTGTAATATTTGGTTTAAGAAATCATTTATATATGCCTTAACCTGTTGAACATAATTAGCATCCTGTAAACAAGTTTCACGTGAGCACCGCGAACTAAATGTTTCTAACAAATAATTAACCTTTGACCTGTATTTCTGTAGTCGTTCACTTCCAAGTAAAACGCAAACACGTTTAAAATTCAAGTTAGAAGATTAAATGATCAATCATATAACAATAAAAAAGTACGAAAACATATTTCGGTTTGTCAGTGTTCGTTAACTTAATCGAACAATTATTTTTGATTTTATGTTGTGAAAAGTTGTCACGTACCGGATATTTATCATATGTTCTCTTCGTGCATGTGCGTCGTTCTTATCGTCTTCTACCTTTCGGTTTCATTGGTTTTTGAGTTTTATGAGTGAACGAGAATGCAAAGTGAACGTTTTCTGATTAAATATATAACAGTGAACAATTGCTTTGCCTATTTGCCGGACACCTGGCTACGCAAATTGGAAACTAAGGTTGGTGTTGTATAATTTCCTAAACAACTAGAAATAACTATATTGTGAAACACGTATCATACACACAATAGTGAGAAAATCTGATATGCTGCTCAGAATTTGACCTACTGAGTTCTCCTGTAAAAGTGTTGTGTTGTTCCGCAACATAACACTTGTGTGTCAGCAAGGTAGGGAATTACATCAAAATGGTAAACAAATTTTTTCGAGTTGCCAAAACCCATTTTCGCAGATAACTCCTTTTGCAAACTGCAGCTTATTTTCAAAATTTGGCCTGAATCGGAGCCTGAAAAATACTTTACCTTATGTCAATAAAAAAGTACTCTATATTATTATTAGATGGTCGAAAAGGTAACGCATCTATTTTACCTTATGTGCAACACTGAACATGGTAGGCTTCTCTAGGGCTTCTGAACAATTTATTAAAAAGTTCGATAAATTATAGGAAAATGTAATTGAAATATTGCACAAGGATAAAACGTATTACGTGTCTTGTAATGCAAGACCGAACAACAATGAAACTCTATGCCTGGGTACATCCTTTGCTAGAAGTTTAAACATCAATGAAGGTGACGAAGTCTTTGTGTCTTCGATAAAAGATGTGCCATTCTTAACAAAAATCAACGTCGCACCTCGCACCGCGAACGACAGAGAGATTCTGGTGGGTTGTAATAAAATTCTATAATAAAAGGATGTATATTTGCTAAATTCCTTGGAATTTTTTGTAAATCAAAATAATGGTCTTTTTCGAAGGAATTACAAATGGAAAAGGTGCAATCCACGCTGCTTAATCAAATTCGCGTGGTGGCCAAAGAGCAACCAATTATTGCGTGGGTGTCGAAATTTTCTTCCGTAACATTAATCGTAGGCAAGTATAAAAATTCTTCTCCCACTGAACCCAAGAATTTTTAATACTACTAATAAAAAGTAATGAAATGTAATTAAAATGTGACTAAAGTACTCCGTCATAATGCCTTGAAAAATTTTCCTTTCCCAAAGAATCTTTAGAGCCAAATTATAAGTGTGGAAAACTGGAACAATTCTCAGAGATCCACGTGGGTGACACAGTGGCAAACGCTAAATCAGAATCTTCAAGTGAGCCGAGCAAACAAAATAGCGTCACGAATAATCTGCTCACTGGTTTCAGAAGATTGTTACCATTTTCTAGCGAGCGAGTCACGTCCAAATCGCAAGAGAATGAAACGGAAAGAAATCGAAAACTTTTGCAAAGCTTTCGCAACAGAAAGAAACTTATGGTGTACCGAGTTCACCCTATGCCAAAGTTGAACCCTACAAAAAATAATCCTTTCAATGTAACTGCTGATTGTCCCTATCACGTGTTCGTCCCAAGGAACCAGGCGCCAAAATTTTCAGGCAATTTTGCAATTTGTCGCGTGAAGAAGATCGCAGAGGACAAACAGTATGCGAATGTGACCAACACTAATTTTCTCACCAAGCTGGACTCTCCTGTCCCGCAATTGTCCACCGAATTAACAGTGAGACTATTCATCCTGGAGGACCTATTCGATGGATCACATAACAAGGATCATTTTAACGTTAATTTCCTCCATACGAGCGTTTATGTCTCGGATAGTTTGAGGATCGGTTTGAATCTTAAAACAGGGTCAAAGATAAGCTTGTACCTGGTGGAAGAGTCCCAGAACACTGTACCCTCTTCCATCGAGCTGTACTCCTGGAGGAACTCAGTGTCCATAGACAATTTTCGGAATTACGTTGAGACACACTCGAATCCTGAGAAATTGTTCATCAATTCTTGCGCTGTTCTCCTTGTGGATGGTAATTGTTGCGTTTTAAAAATTACACCGGAGGATTGCACGTATGCTGCAATCGATGCGACTGATTTGAAGAAAATGAAAGTTCACACGAGAACTGTGAACGAGGAGAGTCATTTAAGGATACCTTCAGGGTTGGATCAAGAACATTCTAGTCTGGAGAAAGTTTTCACACGGTAATTTTTTGGGTGTAAGACTACGAGTAGATTGTCGAACTATGGCAAAACGTTTCTTCGTTTCAGATATTTAAGGAACGTTTTGACGGAGTGTCAACTCACTTTGGATCTCAGTCTCGGTCTACGGTCGCAATTGGGCTTCGAATATGATCGAGAAAATATTTTAATTTCCGGGGTAGTTGGTTCCGGTAAAACTACCGTCTGCAAAGTACTTATGGAATATCTGGAAAGTCCACCGTATTTTGTGCATACTCATATGATTGATTGCAGATCGTTAAAAGGTAGTTTCTGTCGAATTATTCTTTCATTTCTATCAGTAATTTATGAATTTTTCTTCAGGGAAAAAGGCTGAAATGTTGCAGAAAATTTTAACAGTTGCACTCAACGAGTGTGTCTATTATCAACCTTCTGTATTATTTCTGGACGATATAGAATCCATCACAGTTGCATCAGCAAATGCCGAAGAGAATACTCCGGACGCTATGAATGCTGCGAGGTACTTACTTCTTCAATTTTCTTGATGCTTTCATAAAAACAAATGGCACTTTTCATTTTATAGAATCACGGATATGCTAATTAACACGGTGACACAGTATCAGGAAACATATTACGTGTCGGTTATTGCTACCTGTGCAGGTATCAATAGGATAGGTCAGAAACTAAGGCCAGCAAGAGGGTGTCATTTCTTCAGAACTATTTTGTCCCTTCCGAATCTCGAAAAGGTATTTGATCAACTAAATATGTAAATGTAATTTGAAAAACTAGCTTGTAAATAGAACTATCGGGAAATTATGAAGATGTTAATCAACAAGCAGCAGTATTAACATTATTGTGGAATTTCTGCTTATCCTGTAATTTATCCTTTCTAATCAGACGGATAGAATCGATATTTTGCAATTAATGCTCCGGGACAAGTGGTACGTGCCAGGAGAAGACGTGAATTGGGATTACTATGGAAACAAGACCGAGGGATGGATGGTTCAGGATCTCGTGGATCTTGCTAAGAAAGCCACGTATGTTGCTTGGGTTCGTCACGGTAATGAAATCTCTGTTAACCATTCGTTAAAAACTTTCGAAATAGATAAATAAAATGTTAAATGACCGAAACCTTAAAACTTCTATAAATCTATAATAAATAGTATCAATAAAGAAACTTACGTTGGTAACAAGATTTCATGAAACGTTGATTTTCCAGGTGAAAAAGAAGGCTCCAAGCCTCCTGTCGTTATCGCAGAAGAAGACATGTCGAATGCGTTGAAGAATTCCACACCGATGTCATTGCGGGGCATACAACTGTACAAAGGAGCGGGTCACCTTTGGTCGGACATTGGTGGTCTGGCTGAGGTGAAGAAGTCCCTCGTGGAGATTCTCCAGTGGCCGTTGAAATATCCTGAAGTGTTCAAGAACGCTCCGATTAAACTCCAAAATGGTGTTTTATTGTACGGTATGCCTGGTACCGGAAAGACTATGCTAGCCAAAGCGATCGCCAACGAGTGTGGCGTGAATTTAATTAGCGTCAAGGTAGGTATTAATCAGGATATTTCATTCTTAATTTGTATAACTTGACATTGGTATCGGTAAGTTTCTGAGAATTGAATTCTATTCCTTAAGAAATTTTAATCTCTGTTTCAGGGTCCAGAATTATTATCAAAATACATAGGTGCCAGCGAGGAGTCTGTTAGGAACATGTTCGAAAGGTAATAAGATTTGACGATTAAACATGCAGATGTTCGATATACAGGATGGATTATTTACAGGGCTCTTCGTGCAAAACCGTGTGTCTTGTTCTTTGACGAATTCGATAGTCTTGCGCCCAGGTAAATGAATCATTAGCTGATAGTATTCTTTGATTACTATGCCTTTGTTCTATTCAATTTTAGACGAGGACACGATAGTACCGGTGTAACAGATAGAGTAGTGAATCAATTGTTAACGCAAATGGATGGAGTGGAGGATAGAGAAGGTGTTGCGATCGTGGCTGCTTCTTCGAGACCGGATTTATTGGATCCAGCTTTGCTGAGGCCTGGACGTCTTGACAAAGCATTGTATTGTCCATTACCAGATGAGGTCCATTTTTTCTTTATCCACTGTTCAATTTATTATATAAAATTGATCGCAAGATAATTAGGTACATATTTTTTTTTTTACAATTATATAGGCAGATAGAGAGGAGATTTTAGCAGCACTCTGCAAGGCCCAGAACATAGACACGGTGGAATTGGATTTGAAAGAACTGGCTATACTTAGTTCACAGTTCACTGGCGCGGATTTGAACGCTGTAATCACGCAGGCTAAATTATCAGCTTTCGAAGAGGCTGCTGAGAATCTCACTGTAAGTATGCATGTTTGTTTGAAAAATAATTTCAAACGAAACTTCTTCAAACGAATACTTTACGATACATGGACGTTTGAACAGAGCTAGAGAAACGAACGTTGAACAAAACAGGACCAGAAATGGTTTCTCTGTTCCTAACGATCGTCTGGTTTTGTCGCGAATCCTGTCGTATCTCCTTGCTGCAATAATGAAAAGCATTTTAGCGCGACTCGGAGAATCGTTTGTAGGGAGGCTTCCAAAGTAAGATAGTGCGTAATGATGATAATATCGTTAGGTGTACATCCCGGTTATGTATATAGAGTGGCGTCGAGGTAGCTAGGTGGGTTAGGTACGGTGCGATATAACTGAGGAAACGTAGACCAGGTTTATTAGCGCACGATGCCGAGAGCACAAGCCATCCCCCATCTCGCTCCACTTCATCCTGGCCTACGCCTCGCTGAACGTCGAGGGGGTTATTATCTTATGCGTTATAATGATACACGGTTTAGGGCCTGCAGCGGTCCTGTAAAATCGAAAGGCAGAGACACCCTGTTTCCACCCTGAAGTCGCGTCCTGTATCCACCGGTCTCTTATACCGTCCATACCTTTTCTTCGACGTTTGTCGGGGTGGTTATCAGATAACTTTACCTTAGGAAGATAATTAGATGGTAGCATTCTACATATAGCGAAGTGTCAGAATAAGTAAAATTTTAAGGGATTCCAAGTACAGTATAATAGAATAGGAATGTAAAAAAAAATGATTAAGATACGGTGATATTTAGGTGGTAGGTGTAGAAGGGTTGTCGCGTGTGTAAAGGGGAGACGGCTCCATTAATTAACTCCCTACGGGGGGGGGGGAAACAAAGTTGCGTCGGTACTTACCTACCGGAAGAATACGAATATCCAAACTGTACGTCTAATTAGCGAGCGAGTTTCCTGAGCGCGACGCGTTTCGAGTGGAACGCGTCTCACTGATAAGCGATAATGTCTATAGGCAGATTCACGGTGTGTTTCTACCTTAACGCGGTAATTAATGCCTTTTGATGGTTGAATTTCAGGATGGAAAGATCACGGTGACAGATTTTAAAGTCACTCAACGACATCTGATAGATTCCATCGGGTCCACTCATCCATCTTTGTCCGGCCCTGAAAAAGAAAAATATACAAGAATGTGAGTACTTCTTAAAATCATTTTATTTGCTTTTATTTCGTATTAACTATTTGTTTCTTATTTTTTGCAGTTATACCAGATTCACGGGGAACGATAATTTTATGGAGGACCTGGTGAAGAATCAGAAAGCTACTTTGGCATAAGCCTGAATGAATTCATGTAAATCTAAGGGATCAACTTTTTACCTATCTATTTTCGTAAAAGAATAGAATATTCAGAAAGATATAATAAACAAATGAAAAATATACATATCGTATAATTATTATCCTCTTCTATTAGAAGATTAGGTCTCGATTGGTCCAGTAGCTGATTATTGATCCCAACCTCGTTGAATCCCCTGTACATCGGTTATATTTTCATTTTATCACGTATACGTGGATGCAGCTCGTAGGAAGTGGGTGGTGGGAATGCAGGGGATTCAGTTTTCCTCGTTTAGCCGAGTATAAGCGTAATCCGGATGCCTGCGTCTCTCAAGAAACTCAGCCTCGTTGGCGTCGTTCCGCGAAGCTTAACATCGCGGGCACAAGAACTTTTCGTATTAATAATCGGTATAATAATTAGTATTTTCATGCGCGACTTAGCAGGAAGGAGGCACGCGGCCGACCAAGAGAGAACGAGCACCGAACTTCGGTGGATCTTGATTTTAAGTTCGGGCGAAGGAGGCGCATATTTCACCCCGCTAATGTCCCGCCAGATAAACTACAATATTAGCTGCCTTCGCTCGTGATTTAATTTAACTTTGCCCCGGCGCGACATCCGCCTCTAGCTTTCGGCTGCCTCCCTCTTCAGCCTGGTTAACCAACATCCCTAACCACCCGCCTCGACCCGCCAGTTACGTCGACATGTGTTCCTGCTTTATAGTTTTCGCGGTTGGGCATAAGCGGATTCCAAAGAAATTACGCGTTAATATTACCTTTTTGGGAATTCAACGCGTCGCGACTGTAATTATCGTTTCGAAATTTCAAGTTTTCACTCGTCACCTTTGAAAATTAATAAATTGACAGGTAAAGTCAGCGTAGGAATACGAACTTCTGGAAACGATTCGACAACACCGGAAACCAGGAAACGCCGGTAAACGGGAGGGCAAAGAAACTTGCGCTCTTGGATTATTCCTCGAAGAATTAGGATGGCATTCAAGCCCGATGGAAAATCATGTTCGCATTGTCGCGTGTCCTTCGAACGCGGAGGACCGATGTTTCGACCGATGCGACGCGACGTTTCTTTCCTCGGCGTGGAAGAAAGGTGACGGAACGAGAGGAGACGGCGAAGTCAAGTTTTCGAATGTCAAGGTAACGAGATTAGCGCGACGAGAAACGGTAATCAGGGATAAAAATGCTACGACCGACGGCATTTACGCTAACTAATCTTCTTCAAGAGGCGAGGCGGTGTAAACGGAGTTAGCACCAGCCAGCTCCGCGTTTCTCCACGCTTTCCCGTCGCTCGGTTGCCTTGTTAGCCGGATAATTGGCCATTTTTATGCTAAACAGACCCGCGACTGCGGCTCGCATTCTCGTTTTCGCCTTTCTTCCTCTACTTCTTCTGCTCCATTGATCGGCCACGCTTTTGTTCTTCGCGTCTAACACCACGAATTACAATATGTACCTGAAGATGTATTAAAACAATGATCAATAAAATATTCAACTAAAAAAACTTTCTCAGTGCTCTTTCCTTCTACCCTTTTCCCTCTATCTCACGGTTGCTACAAGATAAGGCAGTAACGTCGGTCGGTGGCACGGTAAGGCGATTACCAAATCGTGGAAATGCATTCCTCTGGTCACTACTATAGGGGTGATAGCAAGAGAAAAGGAGGAAAGATTTTCCCTGTTTCCAGTCTCGAATTGTCTCCATTCGTACTGAAACAAAACGAAACGTAGCTTTATTTCTTATAATTGTTAATTCGACGTTTCGACGTTCTTCGAGATTTTCGTGACGAAAATTTGGAAATTACAGTAATCCAAGCAGAGGAGATTGAAATTTCCCGTCACAGATTCATCGGAAGCAGAGGCGAGAATGATATTCGTTGACGCGAGAAACAATTTGGTGACCGCGATTCGATCCCGTGAATTACGCGAGCTGGATAGCTGGAAGCTGGGAACGACAGGGTGTTGCAAAAATATAGGATGAAAATGCAGAACAAGGAGGCAAAATCCATCTAGTGATTTCACAGGCAATTATGCCGCGGCGTCGCGCTGGCCTGGGTTACTCTTATTTAACGCCAATGTGCGCCGAGAGCACGCCTCAACGCCCTTGCACCGCGATCCCATTTGCGCGAAATTGTCAATGATAGAATGGCAGATTGAAAACTCCGAACATTCAACGTCTCCCTTCTGTGATGCTTTCATCTTTTTCTACGACATGGCATTCGTTCTATTATTTTCATCCTTTTCTTTCACTTGAAGAGTTTAACGATAATGATGAATTAATTTGTCTAATCGTGATTAGTTTCTACTTCAATTTTATATCTGCATGAGAAATGAAATAAAGAACCATATTTTTCTTAATCGATCATTAGAGTATGATAGTTTATAAAAAAGAAATAAACTCGCGGCTTTACGATCATTTCAATGTCACGAACATTGCAGAAGAAAAATCGTATGGACATGGCTTAAAGTCGTGCTTGTAGAACAAACGTCCTCCGCAAACACGAAGGTTGCCGTTAAGAGCAGAATCGTCAGAGTATCGATATGTTCCGAAGAGTTTCTCTAATAAATTGCACTCGAAATGTAACCGATCCCTCGGAAGTGTCGACGATATCACTCGTCTGTCGATTGAATGGAATGAAAAGAAAGCAGCGATAACTCGATTATCAGATAGCCAGATAAATAGACGGTGGCCAATGCGCTTTTACCGTCAACTACTGCTGACCACTCGAACACGTCCAATGTCCGGAAGTTGCATTACACCGGCGTCCGTTTCCGTCTCTATTGTTACAGCCTTGATACATTGTCTAAGCAGTCGATATTGCAATTATTAAACAGACTCGTAGAATTACCAATAGATATCTGGAAAAGAAAAATTTTACAAGAAAAATATTTCAACAATTTCTATAGAAGCATCGTTCATTTATCAATTATTTTTCTTAACCCTATTTAATATGCAAATCGAAAGAAGTTAAAGAAGCGAGTAGAAAGATCGTCTGAGAGACGTTGGGTGGTAGTCACCCTTTTTCAGCCAGGCTGGAGGTCAAACGTACCATAGGATCCTTTTGAGAAGGACAGAAGGCAGTGATGGGAGTCGGTTTCGGTCAGGATGTCTCTCTCGGCCGTGATATTTACGGGGTGCCGAGGCGTGGGTAACGCTGTTTGCCGCAATTTCTTGTTTCCATTAGGTTGGCCGGCCTGCGGGCTAAATTCCACCCTCTAGCTGGCCCACCTACCCTTCCTGCGGGCTGGCTTGCGCAACTTCCACGGGTGCAGAGGGTGCGGGACGTGGACGGCCGTTCGGTTGAAACTAGAGGGGCTGAGAGGGGTTGAATCGAGTGACAAGTAGCGATGGGCTATGAAGCGTTTCGAATCGCTTCGAATATAAATATTGTATTCGATTGGATTATTCAATTTTCTTACAATGTTTACTGGCAAAGATTTACAAAGGTATATAGAAATTTCGTAAGTACTTCGAAGGGATTCGAAGAATTTTCAAACTTCAAGGATTTTTAATACTATTAAAGGGTTTTCAACCCTTCCAACTCCCTCAAGACTTTTAAGTCTCAAAGCGATTCCAACTTGACTTGCTCGAAAATTTGCTGAGGAGTGTTTCGAATATCCATCGCTAGTTTCGGCAGAAGGGAAATTGTGCACAGAGAGAGGGAGAGAGAAGCCTTGGCTTCCACTGTGAGCGATCAAATGACGCGCGCCAGCGCCCACAATAACGGCCTCTTCACGGTTCGCTCCTATCCTATTCCCTGGCACCCCTCTGCATCAACGATCGAGGATCGAGAGGCCAGCAACACGATTCTCGTGGCTTGTTTTCGCGGGACGTTTGTCTTCTAATCGATCCACGAAAGGGGTGGCTTTCGTTTGATTTATGCTTCTCAACCAGGCTGACTTTTTCGGGAGTTTTTGTAATTAGAATCGAAATACATTACATCGCACATTGGATTCTATTGTAATTGGATGAACAAAATTGATCTGTATGAAAATAATTCTCGCACAGAACGCTCTAATCAACATCAACGACCGGGAACATAATTTCTGTATTTAAATCTCGGTCCACGTTCACCACAACCCCCTAGTAATTGAATTCTTGGCCGAGATTACTTTAGCTTTCGCCATTTACTTCAGCTGAAGCATCTTGCAGCGAAGCCTGGGCTCCTTCAGCGTCGCTTGAACCCCGCAGGTTATTTAAGATAGATTATTATTCTCCGTAAACCGCGACGGAGGAGGGTATCAGAGAAAATGAAAACGCTATCATTTACAGGCAGATTAATTGCCGCGAATCACTTTATCCGCGGCTTCCTCTTTCGCCCTTGTTTAATAGAAGCCTGTTGTTGCACCGCGTTACTGTTGCCCGAAATTACTCGTTGCTCGGTTGAAATCTCAATTCTTTGTCTCGTCATGATTCATAGATCATAAAATTTCATTTTCTTTATCGAATGCAAACGCCGTAGTTTTATATGAACGAGAATTGAACCAGACGTTTAAATCTGCATTCTCAGAAACGAAGGGCAGATTTTTCGGTTTAAGAAGACATTTTTTAATTGCGTCGATTCGCAATTATATATAAGTGGTTTTGCAGACAGTAGAGGGGTAGGTAGCTCAAAGCACGAATCGTTTGATTGCGGAAAATGACGGGCGGCGATGGCGCGAGTGGAAGTTTTGAGTGGGCGTCGGTCCTGGCAGACAATGAGGCATTCAGGGGTGGCATTGTCGGGCCGACAACTGTGTTACCGTAGACAAACCCGAAATCACCGGCGCTATCGCCGTCCCAGATCCGATTATACGAATAATAAAATGCAGCGAAACGCAGGAGGGATGCAACCGAGGAAAAAAGGAAAGAAGGGGCTGGTGAGAAGTTCGTTAATAGCGTCACCGTCGCTCGATCAATCCTTCACGCGTCCTTTTCTTTCTCCTCGCTCGTTTGTTGGATCATTTTGCGAATTTGATTCAATGAATTCCAACAGCGAGATGGAAACAGCCTTTCTTTTATGTTAATCATTTTACAAATAGCTTCAGAGGTTTCGTATCACACGTTTACACCTAAGCAAGAAAGTGCTTGGATCTTTTGGGAGTTGAAAATTATTTATTTATACTAGGAATTTAATAACCTCTGTCTGTTTGTAAACTGGGTAATTAGGATATTGACGAGCCGAATGTGGTCGAATAATAGTGGAAATGGTAGGCGGTATAGGTATCAGCGATAATTATGCATTTAAGGGTGTTCAAGTCCGGCTGGAGTTGGTGAACTTGGCTAATTAGGAATGGTAGTCAGACGCCGCCCGGTATTGTCCGGTACTGTTGACTTCCGGCCTCTTCTCGCCACTTCCATAGCCCGAAGAGAGGCGGCGGTGCAGGTTGATTGTTTCATTGTTTCCGACCCCACTGTCAAATGCCACCACGCTGAATGGGGTTATTGTTATTTCAGGCCGTGCCGCAGACAATCCAAGGGTTTTCGGGATCCCCGTCGGTTTAATGCCGAGGTATCACGTCCACGTTGCCAACAATCGCCTTGTCTTCTTTGCGATTCCCGTTCAAAGTTCGCTGAAAACGAGAGTCGTGGTTTGGAGTCATTTTAAATGTTCATTGTTAGGAGAGGTAATGATCATTTTGAGCATGGATATAACTAGGTAGGAGGCAGGGTGGACTCGAAAATTGTACCATTCAAAAATTCCAGATTTTTAAAATTCAAAAATTTTCAAAGACCTTGACTTAAGATTTTTGATATTCCATATTCTATATTACTGTCAGGAAATGTTGGCACAAGAAGCTGTCCGAATCACGAACAATCTCCCTGGTAATAGATGAAAACCTTTTAGAGTCTTCTTCGAGACATGGTACCGGGTCCAGTTTATCTTCATTCGTTCGCGACACTAGCTCGCTTTTCGAACACGTCAGCTACCCGAGAACTAGTAAAATACTAGCCGGGCAACATTTCACCGACGGATCTCCATGACCCGGCCGCGACCGATAGGATCGTCGCATTTCCCGTGGACGCTCATATATAAGGCAAACTTATGCCCAACGTAAATTCCCCTGGTATTGGCCACGGTTATCTTATCACGGCTACGTTTTTCCAACACGCCGATAGACCATGCCAGACATTATGCGAAATTGAAAAACCGAAAGCGAGCAACGGTCGCCGCCCGGCGAACTTCCGGTCAAGATGAACACCCATGAGGGTCGCCAGATCTTGGGAAGTGAAGTCAATAAATTGAGGAGAAACGATGCGAAGTTTCTTGAATGCTGTTGGTATACATTTTAGTTTCTTTTCTTTTTATTTCATTCCGATGAAATTCGGTTATTTCTCGAAAAATAACGTAATTTATTTTAATGGACTTAAGAAGGTGTAATAACGAACGAGACAGGGGAATCGATCGAGCAAGCGGAAAATAAAAAGGTCTATTCTAGGGACACTTCGTCACGATTTAAGGTCATAAATGTCGAATAAGGCCCGGTGATGCCCCGACACCTTTTCCCGCGGATTGGAAACAAAATGTCGTAAAATATCGTGGCAGAGAATCGACGACGGTTCTTCCCCTCTGTCTCGTTTCCACGGTTGACCCGGCAGCGACGGATCTAAAATCGCGGCTGTTAGGGGGGCTGGCAGGTGCTGTAAATATAAATAAAAATGGAAAGCCGGCCATAATGGCCGGTGGAAAGTATGACGCATACCTATAGCCGTGGCTGTTTCAAATTGATATTTCGAAAGTGCCTCGATGCAGGCGTACATACATTCTTTCTCAAGCCTCTTCGCTTTTCCTGGATCCTCTCCTCTCCGGGTCACTTCCTTCCGGTTCCACGATGTCGGATATCGGCTACCCTAACTCTGTTTCTTCCCTCGTCTTCTCCTCTACTGGGACACAAAATTGATTTTATTTCCTTTCGAATTTTTTTTGGTTTTATTTCATTTCTTTTTCCCGAGCTTGGAAAAATTTTCCTTCACTGCTTCGCTTGAAACAGTAATTGATTTCGGGGAGGAAATAACTTTTGAGATCGCTGTGTATTTTCCCTTGCACTATGCGTCCGGAGAGTCGGCGACGCACGGTACTTAAGATTCCCAACTGCTTGTTTCGCCAAACTGTTAATCCATTTTAAACGATCCACCGTGTATACTGTAAACATTTATCACGATCAAAAAAGAATACTTGTATCGCACCCTCATGACAGTATACGGAGTATTAATCGTGCACGTACGATTCAGTGGCGTCGAAGGAATATGCATAAGCATAAATATGCTCGCGAGCAAGAATAGCATTACATCAATCGACGAGCCGAACGCGTACGCTCTCGTAATGGGCTAAAAGCTTTACAAAGCGTACGAATAGACAGGTGAAGAGGGGTTGGAGGGAGGGTAAGGTTTTGTCGGCGGCAGAGCTTCGCTTCGCGACAAATCCTTCCTTTGTTGGCTCGGGAAATAGAAGAGCGGAGAGAAGAGAGAAGCGAACGTTGCATTATGTTTTGCCTCCGTTGCATATCCATTGGTGCATGGATTCCTGAGCCTCTATCGGGGGATGGTTGCCACGTGAAAAATAATTTGCACTCGCGAGAAACGTCCTACTCGACTTCCCTACCCCTATATCCTTACATCGAGCCACGATTCCAAAAGATTTTTAAATCTCTACATTGTTACGTTATTGATTGTTCGACACTTGATTTCATGACAGAGTTTGTATTCCAAAAAAAAAATCCTTCTATTTTCATTTTTGATCTAAGGAAGAACAGTTTCAATATTTAAGATAGAATATCGAGTAATAAAAATTTCAATCGTTCCAAAAATGTTTGCAAAAATGGATCATAGAAGAAACGATAATAACCGAGGAATCTGATTGAATTTGTATATTTGTCAAATACTTATCGTGGATTATTGGCACTTTCCAGTCGCTTCTATTGCTTCTCACATCGATTGGTATTCCTGGTTACCGTTTCTGTGCTATACTATCAATCTTACTGAATGTGTCTCAAAATTATACATATAATGACTATACTTCCGTATTTCCACTGGTATTCGAATACTCGAATTTTCAAGTCATAATCAAAGTGTCGTGCGTCGCCGACTTTCTCGAAAAATTCTTGATATCCTTGTTTCGTCGGTTACCTATACTGTCTCCTATTTTTTTCCAACGACTCGTTCCAATTTCTCAAATGTCTCATTGAAAAAGTGGCGGAGAGAAGGAAGCCAGCGTAGTTTTACCTGGAAAAATCTATCGGCTAGGAATTTTCTGATAGAAACGCGAGGGATGTCTCGGTAGGAGACGTTTTATAGGGGTTGTAGAAAGGATGGAAGGGGTGTCGACTGTTGGCTGGCCAAAGGAGTCTAGGCGTTCTCCATTAGTATTCGCGGAAGCGCAGCTCGCTCGATTGTGGGAGGTATTGTCGAGGAAGAATGTCCTCGTTGGCGAGGCTCTGTAGCGGCAGTGGCTGCCTTTGCTGTAAGGAGGCACGAATCCAAGTCAAATGTAATCACTTTCGAATCGGAACACCTACCACGCATTTCCAGTCTACGTTGGTTCTTTGAAGTTCCGCTCGTTCCTCGTGCTTTCTTCTATATCATAAACGCCTCGACCGTGTACAGCTTAAAAAAAGAATCATTCTACTCGGGTCTGAAAATTTAAAATAAAATAATTTCATGGAAGAGAAAGGGGTGAAAAGAATCGCTGGCTCGTTCTCTAGAACGAGCAGAGAATTATAGAATCGTCTTGGAATACGCTGCTGTTCACGGAGACGTCTCTGGCTTTCCATTCTGCTGTTATCTCGCCACGAAGAAAGCGTGATTGCCTTTATGGGGGAAGAAAGGGTCCTTCGCGGTGGCGATAATGTCCTCGCGGCGGCAACGGAGGCGTCGCTATCAGAAATAAAACACGACGCTATGGAGGGGTGGTTCGAGGGTCGAGAGGAAAGGCGTGGAGGTTCCTCCTCCTCGTTCCTCAGATTTTCTCCGTCGACGATTCCTTCGCTTACCCTTCGATTAGTTCTACAAATTCATAGAGGTATCTTTTGAGGGACCTGCTTTTCAAGGAAACATGCATTGGAATTATTTTACAATAGATACAATGATAATTAAATGATATGAAATTAAATGATACCTACACGGTTCACTACGAGGCGAGGAATCACGGGGCAGGCACCTGTGTTCGTTATTCGATTAAGATTCAATTTATTTACAAACGTCGCGTTATGTTACAGCAGTTAATTAACAATAATTACGTGGGTGTCGCATCAGGAGATTAACGTAGCCACGTTTCGAAATTCAACAATAGAACAACCAACCACCTAAAAGTTTTTTATTTTAAGTTACAGAGACTATTTAGGTGCTTTCGTTAAATTACTCTTCGTTTAGTCATATTTTTTCAATTTATTTGTAATTAAAAAGTAAATAACATTTGGTGTTGGTTATTCTAGTGTTAATAAAAAATCCAACGGATTATACGATCGCTACTGTTCTCCTCTTCTCCGTTTCGAAAACAAAGGGTACGAGGGGAATTTATTTGAATACGTGGAAGGATATGTTTCTATTCTTTAGATACGCGTTACAGTACAGTTCAATGTTTCTTAATAATCCTGCAACCGGTCCACGCGATACGCCGATTTCCTACGATCGTTATCATTTACAGTATACATTTTCTATAGGGAACGTGTCCACGGAAATGACCATCCGTTCTGGCGTGTCGTTTCGATTTTTCAGCCGAAAAATACGCGCGACAGGGGTGGCGCGAGCCGGGATCAAAACAAGCGTGTAAAATTTTCAAAATATACCTAGGAAACGTTGAAAAATCAGCTACAACCGCTGGTCGCTGCTTGTTCGTAACGAATTCAACGATTCGCAACAGAATACCGTATCTGCAAACAATTTCAGCGAATCGATCGCTCTATTATTCCTGGCTGTAGTAACAAATTTCGAACGATGACGAATTTTTCTATTCATTTCATTCGATAGCTTTTGTATAAAATTAAAGATTAGAATTTTTCTGTAAAGAAAAGGTAATCTGAAAAAATGAAACAGCCCCGTAAGAAAGGTAGTAAAATTTACAACATTATAGAAAGACAACAAAAATTTCCATGTTATTTACATTTTTCTAAGAAAAATAACTTAATAGAAACTTAAGTAGATACGCTATATCACAAATTTTTCAAATTTCAACCAGAACTCCCTGAAAGATATATTTTTTCTATCAACTCACTCACCGTCACAATCTTCCTTTGACAGCAATTACAACAGCGTAACCGAAAGAAATGAAAAATATCGAGTGGTTGCAGTATCGATGCGCGACGCTGTCCACCGCGACGCAATAAAATCATCTCGCGAGAGGGGTGGTGTATAACGTGTGTACAGGTCCGCTGTGTCGCATCTACGTTAGCATTCAGAAACGTTTGGCTTATTTCGCATGGCCGAGTCCCAAAGAAGAGATTTGCCTTTCTGCTAGAAGAGCCTTTTTTTCTTTTTTCTCCCCCCTCCCGCCCCTTCTTTCTCTACCCCATGAACCAGCGGCTCTTTCTGTTCTCCCGTTCCGCTTTGGCTCGCGTGTACGGTAATATGTGCCACGAGAGGGTTGGTTATCTCATCAAAATTGGACTCTTCCGCGAGTCCCTGCACACAAGCTTTGCCAGAAAGAACCGTTTCGTGTCTCTCTCTCTTTGTGGGATTTCGGCCGTGGCGAGTTATCGATTCGGCTTTCCTATCCAACGTCGGCCCCGCATAACGAAACGTCGACTCTTTTTCGTCCAAAGAACAGTTCCATCGAGCTATTTCGATGATTCGTTCAAAAACATTCTCGAGCCTCACGAAATCTCAACACCCACAGGGTGGACCGTTAACTTTGATCCACCCTGTACATCATACAATTGCAATAAAAACACTGGCGCCAAAGATGGGCTGTCGAAATGATCACAAAATGCAACAAGTTTCAAACAGCCCGGTATCTAGTCCGTGGACTGTGGCAGGATCGGTATAGTCTTCCATCGAGTTTGAAAGACTCTAACCATATACACTGTCTAAATTGAGTCACATGAGTGGAACCTAATCACACGCGATCTCCAACAGAATACCTTTCGATCTCCGCGAAGGATCACTGTACATTGGCGATGTGAACGTTCCTCGATCTAGCCATCATCGAGGTCCTCTGTTGATCCACTTGAAACTGGATCTCATCCTCCTTCGCTGTTGCGCTCAGATTCGTGACGGTTGCCTGAGGAATCGGCGACAGCATCGGTGGGACCCTCCACCAATCGGTGCTGGGCCATCCGGCTGGTACCAGGTTCCCCCGGAAGTTTAGGTCCGGGAGAACCGGAAGCGGCCTTCATATGACATGACCGTGATGAGCACCTAAATTCGAGCTGGATGACGTTAAATTTTGAACGGAAAATGGACTCTCGACTTTAGCGGTCGGCGTTGTCGTCGGGACAGTATTGGACATTTTTTCCGTCTGATCAATCGGCGAGGAAGAAGAAGACGAAGAGAAACGATCCTGGGATCTGTCTTCCTGATGTCTGTCCACCGATGTCGAGAACGCATCATCCTCCAGCTTTCTGTACCGTGATTCCTCCCTGCTGGAATCACGATCTGACGGGAACCCATCGTCTTCTGGTTTCCCTGGACTAGGAAAGGATCTCTCTTCTAATTTAGTAGGGACGTAAGGCCTTTTTGGGTCTTTCGAGGGACTGGGGCAACCGCAGTTCGGCTGCAGACAGGTGGCTGTTGATAATCCCGGCCAGGTCATCGTCTGATGACCGGAATAGAAGGTGCTGCCTCCGTAGAGAGCTTGGAAGGCTAAATCTGCCGCCAATTTCCCGCCATTGAATTCCTCTCCGAGTTTATGCTGAATGGGGTAAAGAGGATAAGGAAAGGGCGGGAAGAATCGTGGAATCTTGAGGTCCTCGTGGCTCATCAGGGTGTGATGGGACGGAGGCGCTAGAGGGGGTAGCAGACCTCTCGATATATTGCCTAGGGTTTCACCTGAGGACATCAGTGGTGATATCGAGAAGCCAAACTTGTTTTCCTTCTTCACCAACGATTTCGGCTTCCTGCGGGGACGGTACTTGTAGTCGGGATGCTCCTTCATGTGGAGGGCTCTGAAACAGAAATGTTTCCGAAAATGTTAGCACGTGTTCGAATGATTTTCTTTGGTGACATTTTTCGTAATCGTCCTTGCAAAGCCTTTAGACAATGATTTCTTCGGTATCTACGTTCAATAGTCAGAGGTGTCATTCGTTATCACGCGAAGAATCGCACGAGACAGTCTAGAATTCGGTAAACTTTGCTCTCGACACCGTTATCCGTACAAAGGGACGTATTATCGTGGTGCTAGGACACGATACGGCCCACCATGGGTATTTGTAGTAAATATCTTGTACACACACCCTGGTTGGAGGCGCAGCAGGGCTGCTGAAAGAGGGACGAGAGGGGAAGAGTCAGAACCCCGCGGTATCTCCATCACATAATACTCCATTATGTACCCAAGAGGCGCACAAACGCAGTCCTTATTTATGCTTCGCCTCGTGTAGATAAAAGAAAGCGAACGAGATAGGTGTTTCACGGCCGAGAGCTCGTCTTTTTCGCGGGGAATTCTCTTGGAAACGCGCGCGTACAACGCCGGCTGCTTAAATTCATACACTCTGCGACAGAAATAACCATTTATCTATTTCGTAATTAAAAAATGAATCTGAATTTTCATAAAAATCCATCACATATGTTATTAGAAATAACGAAATATTGTAAAGAATAAAACGTTTCTTCGAATCGTACCGTGGAATAACACGAAACACCCCCACAGGGGTAGCCAGTGAAGGGGGGTGGTAAGGGGTGACGTGAATTTTCCAACTCGCGAACGAAATCCGAAATTTCGGTTTCTCGTGGCGAGAGTGACGCAGCGGAATAATAATTCCGGGACAATGTGTCCCGGCAGATAGCACAAAGCGTAAATCAGCATAAACATCGGTAAAGCCCCGCCGACAATAATTCAGCATAAATGCATAAACATCGGGCGTAATCTTTACAATTCGCTGGGAACCCTCCACCACCACAACCGACACAACCACCACCACCACTACCATAGCGACCACATCGTTTCCAACGGCGCGATAAACAACGCGTTATATCATATCGGTGGACATAAGCCGCGCGGTAGTTGCGCTCGCGGCAACCGCAACAAGAAACAATAACAATTAGTCACGATTGTCCGATGCTGGCTACGCGATTGTCATTAGTGTAACGATTCGTCATAAACGTGATTGTCCTGGCAATGATCGACGGAGTTTGCAGGATGCTTACCTTTTGCGGTACCTGTCATCGAATCTACCGAATGATAACTATTGTCGATGGTTACCAAGGATTATTTAATCATTATACCGTTTTGGGCAGATGATAATGTGGGGAATATTGAGATTACTTACTTACCACTACTTAACTTTGCTACCAAATCAAGAAGCAGTCTTGTAATAAAATTAACCCTTCGTAAAACAACCCCGAAACATTGAATAGTAGTTACGTTAATCCTGCCTCCCCATGAAATGCTCGCCAACCGTGTCCAGGACGAACCTATCAATCCGCAAAGTGGTCACCACCCCCGCGAGACCATTTTCGTTCCGCTGATTTTCCTTGCCGGTTTCCTCGCGACGGGAACAAGAACGAGGGACCAGGAAGTCGTGGAAAAGAGGGCTGGAGGAGGGAATGGTCGGACAGACAGCAGCAGTGGCAACGGCACAGCCAACGAACGAAAGAGGGTGAGCAAGAAGGACGCGGCAGAAGAGGGGTAGGGGTCGGCAGAGGAGCCGCGCAAATCCTTTTAAATCCACACAATTGCGACAATGGGGCTTTATTTGTTATCTCGGGGGCCACATTGTGAGTCGCCGTGAACGAACGGACAGATTACGTCGGGCCAGTGACGGCACGGCTCCAGGGGAACCCGTTCCTACCGGTGGTGTGGTTCTAACGGAACGAAACGACTTTTATCGGGCCCTCTCCTCTTTATTTTATCGCCGTTCGCCGCAACCCCCCCTCGTCGTCACGGCGCCCTGCCGTTACCAAAGTCGTCACCGACGCTGCCATCCGCCAGAAAAGCGGATTCGTCGGCCACACTTTGGCCAAAATTTTCCTCCACCCTACGCGGATCGACACCCCTTTTCTCTTGGTTTCGCTGAAATCTTTTATAGAATGAAGTCAATATCGACGTCTTCGAATTAGTTGAAAATTATTTGATCGTCAAGAAGGATGTACAAAATGGTACTTCATTTTTAATTATTACACGTTGTTATTGAAATACGAAGATAGGCTTCAGCTTTCAAAGGGAAAACTTTAATATAGAACTTGGAAAAAATCAACTTTTTAATTTTTACATTTTCTGAAGGACTTATTGAATTTTACATAATTATAGGACTTATAATAATTTTGCAACATTATTTTAAATATATTGAGCACATTTTATTAGATATAACTCTTATGAAAATTTGTATCTTGTTCTTCTTTTTAATGAAAAGTTTAAAATTTGTCCCTTTGAATGCAATACTGGTTCAATTGTTCATTCAACAAGAATACAACAAAATTGCGCTAGGTGAAAACGTATTGAGGGAAGAAATTTTACAATACCTGTTCTTTTTTTTGTCGATTCTATCGCAGTTATCGATGGAAAATCGGATTTGATGTTACATTTCGTCGCTATAACCGGAGTGATTTTTTATTTTGTCACTGTAGTCGGTTTTTTTTTTTTCAAAACCGAGTGAAAACGTACACTTGGCAATTGAAAGGGAATCGACGGTGACGCGCTTTAGAAGAAACGACTTTATTATTCCATTATTTATTTTACGAGCCCTATCGCCATGCCGGGTGATTCCCTGAGTTTATATTCAACCCCAGCCATCTCCTATCAATTGCCTATCCCGGCAATTTTTGCTTTAGAAAAACCGTGATAGAAGTGGATTCTGTCGTGGCGCTTTTAAATTAATCCTCGTCTCTCTGTGTTCGCTATTCTCCATTTTATTTCCCTTTTATTACCCTTTATCTTTGCTTTTCTTTTTCCCTTCACTGCCTCTCGTTATCTAAATTCACCGCAAAAATACGGTTTCAAGTATTATACAAAATTTTAGGTATTCAATATTTTTAACTTCAAAATCTTCCATCGATTTTTGCCAAATTAACTTCCCCCTATAATATCGATAATTGGAAATATAAAATCTAAAGAGAAACGATGCCGTTCATTCGTGAAATCTCTTCGACCTGTTCATCGCTAAATAAACTCATAACAATGATTAAATATTCAGGGTCGGTAATAAAGGGCCTGTCCCCCTCCACCTTCGTAAATACCACTTCGTTCACCCTATTCCACCCCTTGGCTTAGGGCAGCACGCCCTTAGCTTTAGCAACAATGTACCGTATTATGAAGTACGAGCTCTCCCCTTCTCGTTTTTCATTCCCCCCCTTTCGGTTATTGCAGATACGCCTCGATGCGATAATTTCGTTCGACCACTCGTGAACTAAAGAGCAATTAGCGAGGTAAAAAAAAATTCTGGGCATCGATTTGAAACGATACCGAGGGAACTTTCGTTAATCCTACTTCCCTTTTTCTCTATTTACGAAATTCTATAAAGGCTTACCGTGGTGCATAAAATATGACGAACCTTGTAATTAACACAGAATTGTAGTAAATCTCGACACTCACCTAAGTCTTTTAGCTTCATCGATGAAAGGCCGCTTCTCGCTCTCGCTGAGCAGCTTCCATTCAGCTCCGAGCCTCTTCGAAATCTCCGAATTGTGCATCTTGGGATTCTCCTGGGCCATTTTCCGTCGCTGTCCTCGTGACCAAACCATGAACGCGTTCATAGGTCTCTTAATATGTTCGTTATGAAGAGTTTTCGACGACATCTCGACCGTTCTGTCCTCGCGATCCTTTCAATCAATTACAACCATCAACTTCTACCTTAATTATTTAATACAATCTTTCTATCACATTGTATCATGGATAGAATAATTTTTTCTTTCACTATGCTCATTTTTCTTCGTTCTCAATTTCCGACACAAACACTTCTTCTTTCTGTACCGTGTTTCTTCGTTAACCATCCGGTGGTTCACACACCCTGCGTCCCGTTACCGCGTGTCCGAAAACTTTCCACGTCAAGGATACATTCTTTAATCAACCGCACACGGGCTCATTGTCGAATCATCAACAGGTCATGCACGCAACCGACGCGGAACCGATCGCAGCAAGCAGTGTGATTGATACCGTCCGTGACGAGTACTGGCAAGGATCCGTCAGGACCTCTGTGACGTCGGGCTCTGGGATGAGCCAGGGAGGAATCGGAGAGCCGTGAAGTAGCCGGGAGTCCCGTGGGACGCGGGGAAACAAGGATCGGCCAACCAGGGATCTTCCTTCTCTCCCACCATCGTCCACGGCTAATGGACACCCACGATTGGCTCCTTCGTCGACATGGCGGACCGAGGACAGAACCGCGTTCAACAGGTGGAGGTTGTTCCTTCTTTCTCGCTACCGTTTATCTTCCTCTTCTCCCTTTCGAGACTAGCTTGTTCGACAGAGTCGAACCACCGGTTGTGTGTCTGTTACGCAGATTATCGTACTACCGTTGCTTTTCTCACCTTTTCCCTCGAAGCCGATGGTCAGCCTGCATCCGGTCGACATTGATGCCTCGGGAAGACAATGACGGATGAGGATCGCTTTCAGGAGAAGAGGTAAGTAGAATAGGTACCTCGTGGTCGGACTGATCCGATTGGCTGAGGGGATGATTGTGGACTCGAGGATTTGAAAATGAGAATTGTTAATGTCCTTTTTTCTGTGAATTGTGTTAACGAGGTTAATTGGTGATAGATTGGATCGATTAATTTGTTTTATTAACAAGTGGATTAATTTTCAAATTTAAGTTTCCAATTTTCTATCAGATAATATTAAAAAAGAAATCAATAGGAAGATGTTAAAAAATTAATTATAATTTTAGAATAAAATAACTTTCATTTAACTGTAACAAAAATCTTATGGAATTTCTCCCAACATTGTTGACACTAATGATTAATACACCATTGCTTTCTCACCTCCACCTCGGAATACAGAAATATTTTCTCGCTTTGTTCGCTCGTTGTACGAGTAAAGAACGAGGAGGGCCTTATTTCTTGAAATAAATGTTATCAGTCGAGGCGATGTCTTGCTGGAAGAAGCAAGGGGGAATAGAACCATGGCTAAAGACGTCTTCGGTGATAAGACGATAAAGAGGAGGTATAAAACGAGACAAGAGGGCTATGTGTTGGTGGTAACACCTCGGTGAATTTCAGGTTCCATAAAGAAGCGACTGTTATGCTCGCTGCCGTCGAATTTCCGGAAAGTTTTCAAATATATTCATCTGCAGCAGAAGAAAAGTGCAATCTATCCTATCTTGAAGGGATAAGGAGAAACAAAGAGGAAAAATCATTTTTCTTTTAAACAAGAGAAATAATAATTTTCTGTACTGTAGAGAATAATTAAAGATTGGTGAACAAATTCAAAAAAGATTCAATCAATGGGGAAGAAAGAAGGGTGAAACGAATGGAGGATAGATTATCGAAAGCAATCAGCTATTTGTTCTGTTATTAACTCGATCATAAATTCACTACACGATACTGAATGACTCGGTCGACTGTCATTCTGTCGGCGCTCCTTTATCGTCCCCCTCGTTACACATTCTCCATCGTTCGTGGGGTGTGAGCACGATTTTTATCGGTCATCGACGAGAAGAAAGGAACTCGAAAGGGGAGCCGTGTCTCTTTTCACACTCTCCACGATGCAACACCCTTATCTGTACACTGACACTTTCAATTAGCCTGTATCGCCAGCAAACATCACGCCTCTTTTTCGCTGCTGTTCCTTTACTTAGAAACTGACATTCATTTTTCTTTGTTTAAAATTGTTCATTACTGCAGAAATTTCGATATAAGATACAATATGATTGGTAGTAAACATTAATTACATGAAATTTCTTTTTTTAATTTCTGTAAAATCATCCGCTAAAATTGGCCAACAGAATTGAAATTTCATGTAATTAATATTTAATTGAAGCACACAGAATCGAATACAAAGCGGAAAAAGTTGGAAACAAATACAAAACAGTGGTAATTGATCGAAGAAGAAGGAGCCGGTGAAAAGAGGGTGGCATCGACGTCGCAGTATCCCGAAATTAAGGAGCCGTCGGCGACGGGCTACCGGAAAGCCGGATTGTTTCATTGATGAGGGAGCATTCAAGGCCGTAGTAGGCAGCAGGACCAAAGTGGGCACCCAGGCTGCGCAGGAGAGGGTGCTACGACGTTTACGAGTCCGCTTGCAACCCTCTTTCGGACCACGTTGCGCGATGAATGGTATAATCAGCGGTCGCGTGCCACCCCCATCGGCTTAAAGAGCAACCGAGTTGATAACGGAAGAGGGATGGAGAAAGTGAGAACGACAACTGATAGAGAAATTCCCGTTTCACGTCTTCGTTATCAACGGGATCGAGAGAAAATGCGAACGTCGAAAAGTCACTTAACGTCTTTCCCTCCCTATTGCCCCTCCTTTCTCCTCTCATTCCCTTAGATTTCTCCTTTTCTTCAGTTTGTTGGGATGACGTATTCCTTCGGGAAGAAGTATGTCTAATAGTACCAATGTTTTTCGAACGTTTTGTAAGAATTCTCTTTTCTCAAGATAATCGATCCCTAATTCCTTTACTTTCAAGGAAGTTAAATATCTCCCATCATAAAATTATGCTTTTCTCACCAAGATTGACTATGACAGTGTCGAAAAGAAACGCGACGAGACAAAGAGGACGGGGCATCATCATCGTTGCGATTGCTGAAGCGACAACAACGGTGTCCCGCGACGTCGAATGGTAAGGGTGGGAATGGGTGCGTCGAAAAGCTCGCTGATTACTCCATTGTCGAGCCGGTTGTTTCAGTTAATCGCCACGCCTCGTGGCGTTTTGTTGTCCTTTTATCGCGCCGTCCTGTCGGCCAGTTGCCAGCTGCATCCAACCGGATACCAAAGGGGTGCATCCTGAAATTCAAGGAAACGACGAGCCGTCGCGAAATTCTTTAACGATCCCCACCTTAAACCTACCCCGACAAGGATTAGGTGTCACTAAACTTCGAGACAGTATTTGTATTTTCACAAAATAAATGCTGTGCGAAAATTGAAGTATTTACACGAATTTGGTGGCATTTTTAAAAACGGCCACTTTGTTGGTCTGCTATATTTTACTCTGAGATAAACCGATGAAAAATCAGAGCAAAGATAAAGTTACAAGAATTTTACCCTTTCGTAGGGGATGAAAGACGTCTGCTGTACGAGAAAGAGAAAGGAGAAAGCGAGTGATCTCGGTGTCACGAGAATGGAAAAGATAAAAGAGAGATCCGCGAAAGGGCGTTCCCCGTAAACGAGACTCGATTGTCCGTATCGCGCGTACAGTAGCGTTCCTCGAGGCCCCATAAAATCGAATTCCACTTTGTTTGGCCGAATATATACGCGGCATTCGGTATTCAGCGTGCAACCGGTCGGCCAGGCGTCGCCGTATCAAAATAGAGCGCGCTACAATAACTTATTCGGCCGAACAAAATCGTGTGGAAGGGTAGTATTTTATGGAGTCCCGTTCGGGTTACATACGATGAATACATCGAACGGTGGCGGGGTCCTATGTGACTCGAATGTATCATAAACGCGACCGAGGGGTGAACCAGCCTCTCTGCAGACACGCACGTATACTAATCTTGCCATTTCGTCAGAAATGATCCTTCCAACTTTCTTTCATTCCCGATTCTATTCTACACAATTACCAACACTTACCAACAATTACCAAAAAGAAATGCAAACAGAAGAAAAACAAGAGAAAATTCTTTACACCCCTCTTAGCATTCGCTAACAGCACCCTGTTCAAAGACGATATTCCTCGAGTAACAAAATTCTATTCAATGCTTAACAATTCCACTGACGACGTTTACAGTGATAGATAACCAGCTCGAGACCGCACGATATCGTGCCGTTGGATTATCAATCATAATCGGAAAATAATTATCCGCGGCCGACGAGTTCCGTGCTGGACGAACGAATGGAACGTTAGCTTGTCCGGATGGTAAAACGGCACCTGAATCGCCGCTAATTGTGAGGAATGGTCCCTCGTCGACCGATCGCTGATTCGACAGACGATACACACGCGTCCGTATACCCCTGGAAAGTGAAGCACGTTCGATATTAGACTTCGAGAAGACGAGTTTTACAACTGGTGTCTGGAACGAAAGGGACCAACGATTTGCCACTTGTTCGTACGCGTCAAGTGTCCTAAGTACCGATGTACCATTAAACGGGGGCCATTATACGTGAGATTCTATATTCCTTTTTATCGAACGTCCATGGAACATCCCGTAAATTGATATTTTTTCAAAAATAGTTGTAGGAATTAATTAGCCAGTGTAAAGGTTAATTAACTTTTAACTTACTTTACCTTGCAGTACCCTTAGCAAAGGGACAGCCACCTTTCGGAAAGTCCAAACTTCTCGTCACTAGCTACAATAACGTCTCGTTACCCGAAGAGTCGATCGCAGAATCCTGAAGAATCGAATTCCTAAGGAACTCCGTTGGATACCCGACGGCCACGCGGTGGCCATTGTAATTTTGATGCTGGACGAGAGGAACGAGGGCCAAATAAACGACAGCTTGCTGGCCAAGGGAACGATTAAACGTCCGTTCGATGTCCATCAATATCGACCAGCCCGAAGACGTTCCCTTCGCACCAAGATTGCCAAGGTTTTGCACGCGACCGGCAAAGATATCCGTACGCCAATAGCGGACAATGCTGGACTGTCGGCATTATGGGGGACATTGTCGCCGGCTTGATATGAGCCCTGTTGCCTCGGGTATACAAGCCGCAATATCGTCGACATCTACCCTTACTTTCCCTCCTCTGTCTTCTTTCGTTGAGACTGAGAAAACTTGCCCTTGTTTCCGACTGACATTATCCTGTCGATTTTCCAATGGACCCTATGATCCTTCTAATTTCCCAGTTCATTTCTAAATACAAATTTTTTTTGAAATATCACTGTTTTAAAACGAATGAATTTTAATTGAAACGCAAACCTGTAAGTTTTATAGAGTGAGAGGATCTTTCTTTACAGATGAAAATAATGTCTTGGTTCACGAGGATCGTCTTTTGCCACGGTTCTTTTTATAAGAAAGAAAGAAAGACAAGCTGCTCGACCGTTTATCTTTCCCACAGGAGGACTGACGATAACGTTTTACTTATCGGCACTTCCGCAAATCGATTACACAAGAGCGCGATGAAGGGAAGAAGGAACCGACGATTACGAGACAGAAAACGTGGACGGAAGAGTTTTCAGAAGTTTTCTATACGTGACCAGCACTATTGACACTCTTAGGAATACTTATGTGGAATATTGTACGATGATAACGTTTTATGGAGAGGATGCTCCCATTTGAAATTTTCAAAATTAATATTCCTTCTTAATTATATAAATATTACAATCACTCGTTTTATGTATCATCCTACATTTCATATTTGTTATAAGAAAATTGAATAAAATTATGTAAAATAATC